TGCTGGCATCACATGATAAACTCAGACGAAAAAAGTTTGGTAAAGCAAGCTTATATTGAGAGTAAAATCATTAACATCAAATATTGCAAGAACATGAAATCCTTTTAAAACTCGTTAGGTTTCTTACACATCTGGCGAAATCATAATACATTTTCTATCAATATGTTAAAGAAAGCTATACTGAACAAATTATAAGATAGGTATATAAAAGCCTGGAGAGACAGTATATCAAATGAAAATATTACTGATTACTCTACAAATTTAGGAACATATAAAATCCTATAAAAACAAACTATTTATTACTCGAATACATGAAAATCAAAATAAGCAATAGTAACCTCATGATTGAGGAAGGTTGGTACAAGATAATAACATTAATAGATAGGATACGCCCTCTTTGAAAAACTGACATAGAGAATGAAATACACTTCCTAACGAAATATACATTACTTGACAGATCATAGATTTAAAATATACTCCAAAGTTAACAATATAGTATACCGGCCTTTCAAACCTAAACGACGATGAGAAATGTAAACTAACGATGTCCAATGACGAAACCGACATAAACGCAATGAAATAATTTGGAATAAGCAAAATGTACGATAAACGAATAGAACTACTGAAAAATAATAAATTGACGTAAAAATCTACATAACATCCGCCCTCCCCATTAAAAAAAAAAGAAAAAAGAAAAAATATATATAAAGTTCAAGTGTTGCTGTTTATTGGAACTCGTAATATCTTACCTTTTTTCATTTACATTGCTGTTTATCTTTATACTATTAATATATTTTGATTTTGCAATATTAAGTCTATTATAGATACGAGCAAATACGAGATTAGTAGATCATCGATTATTTTATTGTTCCTGTTGATTTTTGTATTTTTAAACCATATTATTAATCTCGCTGAAATTTGGTATTGTAGAAAATATTATGTATTGTCATCCCATGCTCACTGTCTCCCACGAGGTTGGATTTAGAATAGGGTCGTATTGTCGGGGTTGTCTCGTGGGGAGGGGTTGGTAAACATAAAATGTATATATACATATTTATATATATATATGTTGTTTTTACTATCATGTTGTATTTTTTCTTCTCTTTTAATTGTCCTTGTTATTTGAAAAGAAAAAGAAGCACGTTTATTTTTGCCATTCCTGGATATTATCATTTTTACTTTTACACTCAATTATCTATGTTACACTATAATTTTGAAATTTGTTATCCAATGTTTTTTTTTAAATATGGAGAATTGTTGTGATATTGAGAAATAAAATTCGAATTAAATTGAATTATCTATGCACACCCATCTCTCTCTCTCTCTCTCTCTCTCTCTCTCCTCCCCACGTCCCCCCCCCCCCCCTCGATCCGCCGCTGCCAGTATAATGCGATCTTTATAATTTTTAGTTAAGAGTTGGGAAAGTGTAGTAGCGTACTGTGTCCCATTTGCAGGCCAAAACAATGAAAAGGTTAAATTCCACTGGTATTTGAAAGATAATATAATTTAGAACTTCCCTCAAAATGAAAGGGCTCGAAAATATCTTTTTGTAGGAAAATAACGAGCGTTAGTTGTCGAACCGACTTGAGGGATTGCAATCCTTTTAGTAAATAGTCTGATTTTCAGACCCTCGTTCCGGATGGTCGTACGTTTTGTGCTGCGCAAAGATTCAATCAGTTTGTTTTGGGCCGTTACAAGAAGTGGGTTATTGATGTAGATAAATGCTCATGTATCCTTTACAGCTCATTTTATGTATGTTATTACCAAAGAAAAAAAAAAGAAGAAGTCAGTCAGTCTCTTAATAGTGTCTGAAAGTGAAGTATATAGGTTAAACGTGTTTCCTTGCACACTTGGAAAACTAGGACACTGCTATCGTTTAAATTTCAAAAATATAGGACATACGTAACAAATTCATAATTCCTGCAAATTTCTACAGCATTTGATGTTCACTGCAAATGGGACATAGTGCCTTTAATTGAATGCAAACAAAGCATTTGAGTTAACAGCCATTTACTTAGTTCATTTAGTACATTTTATTTCTTCTTTCACAAACATTTGTACATAGGATTTCAAATAAAGTAACTGGAACAGCAGATTGTCAGCATAACAAACATAATTTGAAGCGCAATAGTAACGTTCAACATACAACTCTTGTTATTAACTAAAGAAATTCTATAAAAAAGTTACTTATGTAAGATCATGTGCTGTACATGAAAGAAAGAGGAGACCTTATAGAAGCTGGGCTTGTTATAGCCTATAATCTAGGCGGAGTGCTGAGAGTGTTTCTTTGCTGCTAGACTAACCTTAAGCAGAACGTCTGATACGGCGAGACTACGAACCGTGAGCCGCTTCGCGACTCACGGTTCGTAGTCTCGCCGTATCAGACGTTCTGCTTAGGGTTAGTCTAGCAGCAAAGAAAAAAGCTCGGCACTCCGCCTAGATTATAGGCTAGGCTTGTTAGAGCAAGGTCCCTAAACAGAATATAATACCGGAATTATTTAATTTTTTTGAATAAAAAATACTTAACAACTAAACTAGAAGCAAGTACACATGGGACATAATTACAAAAGAGATGGATTAATGTATTATGAAAAGGAGAAAATGGGAAAATATATCAGGATGGAGAGCCATAGCGCAAACCAGAACAAAACAACAACAGAGAAAGTTGAGAAGGAAGAAAGTTATATGTGGAAGAAAATGGTGATGGGGAAGAAAAAGAAGAGAGCGAGAGAGAAAAGAAAAAGTACAATAGAGCAAAACAGAACAGCTAATAAATGAAGAAATTTTGGTAAGGTAAGGTAAGGGCCAGCCTGGAAAAGAGGGGGGGGGGGGGGGGGGGAGGTGACAATGAAGCAAGGAAAATAAAATTAAATACTATATCATATGTGATGACATAATTTTTACATTAAATACTTCCAGCTAATTACTCAATAAATATAATTACACTGTCTGTCATAATAATTCCTTTATGATTTTATTTTGTAAATGATATGCTGCTGATCGAAATGCTGTCATCACGTGTACCACAAACACACACGAGTACCCCTCACTTTCGCAAGCGATCCGCTGCCTCATTCATTTTATGTAGGTGAAACTAGTACTGCTCTGTTACATTATTGCGTGTGGTCAATGATATTGAACATGGCTTGATAATGAAGATGTTGTAAAACTAAGACAGCACGATGGTGTTGAAACCCCCGGTCAAAATGTGTGTGTGTGTGTGTGGGGGGGGGCAGGAATATCCTTCCGTCCCCCCTCGCTTCAATGGCTGAAAACCCCTTATTTTGTGCATTTTTAAAATTCTAGATATCCGATCAATTTCTAGCATTATGCCTGACATAACATTGCACAATAATTGTGTGTGTATAATACTGTGTATTTATGTCTAGATAGATAACGTATTTCCTGTAAGAATACCTTTCTCCCTAATTAGAGGTGTCATTTACTTTGTATGAGTGATATAGTTAATTCTAATGGGTAAACTGAACTTTAGAAGAAAGGCATTGGTCGGTCAATAAGTTACTGTTTCTACAAATTGTACTATGACAAGTGTTAAAGGGGAAGTCCACCCTGAAAATAAGTTCGTTTGAATAAAAGCAGAAAAAATTAGAAGAACAGATCAGTGGAGGCTTGAGAATAATCGGGAAATGAAAAAGAAAGTTATGGATTCTGAATCAAATATAAATCGGCAAGTCTGTGACGTTTGGCATGCGAGCTCTTCTTCCGTTTGCTATAAATTTTCCATAAAATCACGTTTTCTTCGTTATTGATGACGGAATGTATTTTTTTCCATGCAGGGGTGGTATAGAAACACATTTGCAATTATATTGTTTAGGGTGCATGTATGATTGAAAATTTTCTTGATGGAAAATGAACATTTCTGATATGTTTTAGTTATGAGCAAATGGGAGATGAGCTCGCATGATACGTCACAGAGTTAATTTGTATTTGTTTGTTTGTTTTTATTTCCGTATAAAATCATCACAACATACAAATATATACATAAATGAGATATACGGCGGATAGCCCATTTCAGGCGTATTAACAAAATACGCCTGTTCTTCCATGATTGATCAAAACTTCATATCTTCCTTATTCATAATCGGAATTCGCTCAAACTTTCACTGACCAATTTCTCTAATTTGTCTGCTTCTATTAAAACCAACTTAATTTAAGGGTGGACTTCTCCTGTAACTGATACAGAAGATTTGAAGATCTTGATATATATATGGTCTAGCGGAACGTGAGACCATTTTCTTCACGCCTACATATTTTGGAACACCCGTTGTCGTGTCAGAGTTGAGAATTCTCGCACTTTTATATATATATCTCTGCCCCCCCCCCCCTTCGATCGGTATTTTCCTTTGTCCTCAATCCTCTATCCCCTCTCCTTAAAAGAAAAAAAAGCAATTTAAATTCATGATACGTATTAAGAACAGGTATACGGACTCCGAGCTGCAAGTCTTCAATTCTTATTTTAAGTAAAATCATTTCATTTGGTGCCTCAGATTCTAGGAAAACCACGATAGACGTGACATCCCCTTGACCTACAGCGTAGGAACTGCATCCATTGCCCCTCCCCTTCATTTGTTTACTTTCGATATGGCACGCCAATTGTAGAATCACACCGGGGTCTGGTTAATTATCCACGACATTTCCTTTAATTAATGGTATTTAGATCTTTATCACTGGAAAGCTTGTTTGTGTTGATGAGAGGCATCTCATTTTTGCAGTATTCTTTACAGGCTTTATTGGCTTACCATAACTTTTTTGAGCAAACATGTGCATTTGTTTAGTTTTGTTTGATCGGCCAATTTGACCTCTCCCGCACATTTTATGTGTTAAGCTTGCTAAGAGTTTGCCATGCCATGACTCTGCAAATCGCCAGAACTGTCCTATCTAGGTGCACAAGCACACGAGCTGTGAGACTCCTAGCAATAACGCAAAACCACTGCTTATTCCGGACCGATCGGACGTTTTCGTCTACCTCAAGATCAAGTATGGCCCAAAATATGAAGAAGAAAGCTGTGTTATTTGACCTGGGAGGTGTATTGTTCGAGCCGCCGCAGAATGCCCTTCGAAAGTACGGAGAGCAGCTCGGTTTGCCCGGGTGAGTATGGGGGTAGATCTAGCTGAATACACCGCCATTGATATGAAAAGCAGACTTTGACGTGTTTGCTCTCTAAAAGTAAAAGACTAAAACTCGCCGTGTCATGATCGAGAAAGATAAATATGTGTGTGAAAGTTCATTGAGTGCCAGGGTGATTTGTGTTCTTTTTGCTAGTGTTTACTTTTTGCAAGCTTGTTTGCATGCAGTGAACTGAAATATGTAGTCTATTGATAGATCTGTGTTGATGTCATGCTGATAAGTATGACTATGAAGTATGAGTGATGGTTGATTCCAACTTTTCAAGTGCTGTTTCTAGCTGAAAAGAGAGTGCATAAAAAGCACAATGTCATTGACAAATTGACAATGACAAAGTGACCATCATTGGCATTGCGCAGTCAAGACCTGTGTTTCAGGTACTAATTTTCATTCAGTCTCTTAGAGGTTGTTAGAAGATTCAACCCTAATTGCTCCTGTCTCATTAGAAGATCAGGATATAACTAGATCTACTTGAGATGCAGTGAAAGTATAAGATATCATCTTCAGACTACATAATAAAGCTACAATCATAAAAATTATTTGTCACATTATGATATTACAGTACATGTATAAGAAGCTAATGTGGAATTTTGTTTTATTGCAATACAATAGATGAAATGTTAATTTATTTTCAAAAGCATTATTGATGTACTTGGTACTTGGTTCGTAATCCTCCTAACTTCAAGTTTTTTTCAATATGTACATCTGGTACAGACACGTAGCCTTTAAAAATCAATTGAATAAAGACCTCTTAATTAAAGCTTAACTAAAATGCACGACGCACGATAGACAGACCAGCTCTGGACAATAGTGCTGATTTCTAGCGATTTCCAGATTCTATTCAGAAGATAATTGCATAATAGTACAGCGGATAATGAAAATTGTGCACTTTTTGAGAAAAGCATGAAACTTCTAGCATAGTTAGTTTAGACCATAAGATTTATTTTCAGATATGGAGGGAAGTCAGATTTGACCTCTGATGACCCTGAGAGGTCAAATCCAAAATGGCCGCTATTCCTCATGGTCTAATGTACAAACACACTTAACTTTTGAACCAAATAGTCCAGAAAAACATTTAAGGTGTCATTTCCAACTAACTTGGGGATGCCAATTCATTTGGTAATACTTTTGAGATCGCTTGAACTTAGGGTTTTGCATTTAGGTCAAGGTCATGGTCAAAATTGACTAAAAAATAGCAAGTTTTGAATGGTTACAAAAAGTTTTCCCATTTATTTGTCATTTGTTCTCTCCTATGTTCTCAAATTTCTTTAGGAATTTACGCACCTTAATCCCTTTCAGTGAGTTTATGTCACATTTTGATTTGACCTCTGATGACCCTGAGAGGTCAAATAAAAAATGGCCGCCAGTCCGCCGCATGGTCTAATAATTGTACAAACACGCTTAACTCATGAACCAAATAGTCCAGAAAAGCGTTTAAGGTGTCATTTTCAACTAACCTGGGGATGCCAATTCATTTTGGTAATAATTTTGAGATCGCCAGAACTCGGGGCTTTGCATTTAGGTCAAGGTCAAGGTCAAAATTGATTAAAACATAGCAAGTTTTGAATAGTTACAAAATGTTTTCCCATTTTTTTGTCCCCTTATGTTCTCAAATTTCTTTAGGAGTGGTTCCCCTGCATAGTCACCCACCTTAATCCCTTTCAGTTAGTTTATTTCACATTTCGATTTGACCTCTGATGACCCTAAGAGGTCAAATAAGAAATGGCGCCAGTCCGCAGCATGGTCTAATAATTGTACAAACACGCTTAACTCTTGAACCAAATAGTCCAGCAAAACGTTTAAGGTGTCATTTCCCACTAACTTTGGGATGCCAATTCAATTGGTAATACTTTTTAGTACACCAGAACTCAGGGCTTTTGCATTAAGTCAAGGTAAAAGTTTTGAATGTTTACAAAAAGTTTTCCCATTTTTTTGTCCCCTTATGTTCTCAAATTTCTTTAGGAGTGGTTCCCCTGCATAGTCTCCATCGTAATCAGTTAGTTTATTTCACTAATTATAGCACCAAACCATTATTTGTCGTGTAACTGACCATTTGCATATAGCATGGTCAGTGGGCAGCTACTGCAGCGCTCAAAATACACGGGGGCGGTGGGCGATTCGCCCCCGTGAGCTACATAATCGCCCCCGTCAGGTTGCTCACGGGGGCGATTGCAAAATTAAAAATCGCCCCGGTGGAATTATAAAATAAAGATTATCTTTTCTGTTATAACTTTAACACAATATTGAGTTTCAATTTTCAAACCTTAAACCAATGAAATGGAACTAAGATTAGCGTGCAAGATTTCTCGTTTTATGAGTAGGCCTATTATTACCGATTCAGCTCGCAGTGCAGTGCCGCCGTCAGCAGTGGTTATAGGCCTACTGCGCCTTTAGTAGCGGTGCGTGTGCAAGCTGCCGCGCCATGTCTGCTGGAGCTGGAGGCGATCGCGCAAGGGCAGAAACATGGTCATGGCCTGGAGAAGTTTTTCGTTGTCAGCAAATAATGAACCTCGACCAGTAAATCAATAGGGACTTTTAGATTTGCACAATGAGAACGTGGACTGCAACGTGTGACCTCCTTTTAAGGCACGGTCAGTGCTTAACTCTTTGTTTGCTTTGTTCGCCGATTTGCACGGACGTAGGCGTGCCAACTTCGCATTTTTGCACAGATGTATACGAGTCAATTAGACATTCATAATACCGCTCGCAGTGTGTAGCCACGCGTTGCGTTTACTATTGTTTACATTGTATACATCGCACACTTTCCGGTAAACTGTTTTTCTTCATAGTGTTACATTCGAAATTACCGTGTATTTAGCGGTTTTCTTTGGATTTTTTTTACTGATGTTACGATGGCACCTGCTGGAAAACGTCAACGTGTGTTTAGTGTAGAGGAGGCTCGAGATCTTGTTACTATGGAAGCATGGAGCATGGACTCTGATTCCGACGAATCGAGCAGTGACGAAGACTCTAGTGATAAAAGTGTTCCCTGAGAGTAGACTGATAGAATAAGAATGAATAAAAATTAATGAAAGAGCTAGAGATGACAGCAAGAAAGAGAGTAGACTGATAGAATAAGAATGAATAAAAAAAATGAAAGAAGGAGATAGAGATGACAGCAAGAAAGAGAGTAGACAGTGATAGAATAAGAATGAATAAAAATAATGAAAGAAAGAGATAGAGATGACAGCAAGAAAGAGAGTAGACTGATAGAATAAGAATGAATAAAAATTAATGAAAGAGCTAGAGATGACAGCAAGAAAGAGAGTAGACAGTGATAGAATAAGAATGAATAAAACTAATGAAAGAAAGATGTATCCTGTCTTGCCGTCATCTTTATATCTTTCTTTTATTATCTTTATTCATTCTTATGCTATCAGTGTTTACTCTCTTTCTTTCCGTCATCTCTATCTTATTATTATTATCATTTTCCTATCTATATGTACCCTATGTCTTGCCGTCATCTGTATATCTTTTTCTTATTATCTTTATTCATTATTATGCTATGAGTGTAATACTCTCTTTCTTGCCGTCATCTCTATCTCATTATTATTATCATTTTCCTATCTATATGTACCCTATGTCTTGCCGTCATCTCTATATCTTTCTCTTATTATCTTTATTCATTCTTATGCTATCAGTGTTTACTCTCTTTCTTTCCGTCATCTCTATCTTATTATTATTATCATTTTCCTATCTATAATTATGTACCCTATGTCTTGCCGTCATCTCTATATCTTTCTCTTATTATCTTTATTCATTCTTATGCTATCAGTGTTTACTCTCTTTCTTGCCGTCATCTCTATCTTATTATTATTATCATTTTCCTATCTATATGTACCCTATGTCTTGCCGTCATCTGTATATCTTTCTCTTATTATCTTTATTCATTCTTATGCTATCAGTGTTTACTCTCTTTCTTGCCGTCATCTCTATCTTATTATTATTATTATTTTCCTATCAATATGTATCCTATGTCTTGCCGTCATCTCTATATATTTCTCTTATTATCTTTATTCATTCTTGTGCTATCAGTGTTTACTCTCTTTCTTTCCGTCATCTCTATCTTTTTATTATTATCATTTTCCTATCTATATGTACCCTATGTCTTGCCGTCATCTCTATATCTTTCTCTTATTATCTTTATTCATTCTTATGCTATCAGTGTTTACTCTCTTTCTTTCCGTCATCTCTATCTTATTATTATTATCATTTTCCTATCTATATGTACCCTATGTCTTGCCGTCATCTCTATATCTTTCTCTTATTATCTTTATTCATTCTTATGCTATCAGTGTTTACTCTCTTTCTTTCCGTCATCTCTATCTCATTATTATTGTTATTTTCGTATCAATATGTATCCTGTCTTGCCGTCATCTTTATCTCTTTCTCTTATAATCTTTATTCACAGTAAAGTCCTTTCATTTCATATCACTATTTCTCTCTCATAATGTCTCTCACGTCCGTTCTCCATATTTTATTCATTGCATACTCCACTCGTCAATCATTTCTGATAATAAGCTCTCTCACAATAAAGTAAATGGAAAACAATGCAATATAGTTTATATTTTAAGATTGATTCATTCTTTCTTTGTATATCTATGGCTGTGATAAATGTACTTGAAATCAATTTTATTGAGGGGTAAAGAAGGTGAGAGAACAGATGCGGTGAACATTCATAATGAGACATTTCAATAAGATGCTGATTATGTCATGTATATCACATATAATATATTATGCCTATACCATTTTTACATGCTCATACCAGTGGGCAAAATCAATAACATTCTCTTATTTCTTATTGACTTATCATGGCACAACAAAGAAAAACATCCCCACGACGTCCCTTTTCATGCCCCGCTAAACCGGACATTGACAATAACCTGGGGTAATAGGGATTTCAATGGGCAGATTAGCCCATTGTCAAGGGTGGCTGAGCGGGGTACTTTCAAGTCTCTCCCTATTGAACTTCTTTTCTTCAACAACCTAAATACTAACCTTCTGAATTGTTAGAATACTTGAGCAAGGTATGTAAAGAAAGGTAAGAAGTCCACCTTTCTAATAGATTCGATTTGAAGATGTCTTATCATTGCTAAATAAGAAATTCTAGAGGGATAAAAAACTGCCGTAAATAAGAAAAATTAAACATTATATAATTATGATTATTATAAAAATGATAATTCAAAATATAACAAATGACGGTTCATCGAAAAGCACGTTTTCCGGTCTACAACTTTGCTGCACAATATTTTTCATCATGATCATCCAGTGAAGAGTTATAGCCTCTTGATTCAGCAGAGTCAATAAAGATTCCCTCGAAATGTGTGACCCTAAAAGAATGTGGCACAGGGGGGTTTTTTAAGTGGCGCATAAAGAGTTAAAAGGACGTCACATAATGTGACTGCCAGTGCCTTAAAAGGATGTAACACGTCCACGTCCACGCAAATCTAAAAGTCCCTTTTGAGGAGAAGAGGAAGACCAAAATGTCGTGGAATGATATGGTAACATGGGCAGATCTACGGGGGGGGGGGGGGGGGGGGGGGGGGGTTAAAATATTGATTAAAATAAAGAGAGAGAGAGAGAGAACCACCATCATTTTGCAATGGTTCAGGGTTCGTGTAATGTACATTTGAAACCATTTCTTAGCGTCTCAACCCTAAAAAAAAAGCAAAACTGTTTTTGAGGAAAAGCATTATACTGAATTAAATAAAGAATAATAGCTTTATATTGGATCATACTAATACTGATACGGGCTAAAGACAATGTGGTATTTGTATAGAGGTATTCCAAAATGACATTCTGATAATCAACATTTGTTCTGGTATCATAATGTACATGTATATACGCATAATACAACTGATCTTTATGATTTCTTAACGTGACATAGCTTCTTCTCCCTCTGCAAACAAAACAGAAAACAAGGATATTTAATAAAAGGACCATGCGACAAATAATCATTGTGATTCAAATTGATGCAAGGATTTTTTTGAATAAGCAATGCTTTTCACCAGAATCTTCTTTGTAAAAACGACTTTTACAAATCTCAGCCATGCAATTCTGCCACTGTGCTGTAAGATCACTTTGAGATTAGGAGAAGTGTATTATGTAATGGGTATTTCAAATGAATGGAACGTCTCAACTCAGTGAGCATGGCTGAGATTTGTAAAAGTTGTTTTTACAAAGAAGATTCGGGTGAATAGCAGTGCTTATTCAAACAAATATTCGCATCAATTTGAATCACAATCATTATTTGTCGCTTAATCCCTTTTAATGACCTTGTTTTCTTTTTCGTTTGCAAGGGGAGAAGAAGATATGTCACGTTAAAGACATCATAAAGATCAGTGTTGTATGCGTATATATTATATACACAGGCCAGTAACAGCTATGTAGCTTGTAAATTTGTAAGAGGGAAAATGCTGATTGAAATGATAATGAAAAAATAGCAAATAATTGAGGAGTATCATAGGTACCAATTCATTGGATATGTGTATAAAAAAAGAGCCCCCGTCAGTAATAAAAGAGCCCCCGTGAGCCTTCTCACGGGGGCTCTTTGTTCTGGCGATCTCTTAGTATTACGTAATGAATTGGCATCCCCAAGTTAGTTGGAAATGACATCTTAAACGTTTTTCTAGATTATTTGGTTCAAGTTCACGTTTATACATTAGACCATGCAGACTGGCTGCCATTTTGGATTTGACCTCTCAGGGTCATCAGAGGTCACATCAAACTGTGAAATAAACTAACTGAAAAGGATTAAGGTGGAGGACTCGGCAGGTGAACCATTCCTAAATAAATTTGAGAACAAATGACAAATAAATGAGATTTAACCTTTTGTAACTATTCAAAACTTGCTATTTTTAGTCAATTTTGACCCTGACCTTGACCTTGACCTAAATGCAAAACCCTGAGTTCAGGTGATCTCAAAAGTATTACCAAATGAATTGGCATCCCCAAGTTAGTTGGAAATGACACCTTAAACGTTTTTCTGGTGTATTTGGTTCAAAAGTTAAGCGTGTTTGTACATTAGACCATGCGGACAAGCGGCCATTTTGGATTTGACCTCTCAGGGTCATCAGAGGTCAAATCTGACTTCCCTCCACATCTGAAAATAAATCTTATGGTGAAAGCAAACTATGCTGGAAGTTTCATGCTTTTCTCAAAAAGTGCACAATTTTCTTGCTAAGCCGCTGCACTATAACTGAACTGACAACTTCAGATATCAGTAATGGGGGATCTTGACCTTCAAATAAATCCTCCAGGTTTATATTATTTAAACATCTATGAGATTTCCTTTTTTATGCCTCCGCCACCGAAGGTGGTGCCGGAGGCATCATGTTTTCGGGTTGTCCGTCCGTACGTCCGTACGTACGTCCGTCCCGTTTGACCGTTATCACAATATCTCAAGAACCATTTAAGATTTAAACTTAAGACTCGGGAATAGTATTTATCACCATAGGAAAACGATCTGATTAGATTTTGGAGTACGTAGGTCAAAGGTCACAGGTCACAGAGGTCAACTTATGAAATTCCTTGTATTGAGTTTGTTAGCGCGATATCTCAAGAACCATTTGAGATTTAAACTTCAAACTTAAGGATAGTATGTATCACCATAGGAAGACGATCTGATTAGATTTTGGAGCACGTATGTCAAAGGTCAAGGGTCACAGAGGTCAACTTATGAAATTCCATACATTGAGATTGTTATCATGATATCTCAAGAACCACTGGAGATTTAAACTTCAAACTTAGTGATAGTGTGTATCACTATAGGAAAACAATCTGATTACATTTTGGAGCATGTAGGTCAAAGGTCAAGGGTCATAGAGGTCAACTTATGAAATTCCATACATTGAGATTGTTATCATGATATCTCAAGAACCACTGGAGATGTAAAAACTTCAAACTTAAGGATAGTATGTATCACCATAGGAAGACGATCTGATTAGATTTTGGAGCACGTAGGTCGAAGGTCAAGGGTCACAGAGGTCAACTTATGAAATTCCATACATTGAGATTGTTATCATAATATCTCAAGAACCACTGGAGATTTAAACTTCAAACTTAATGATAGTGTGTATCACCATAGGAAGACAATCTGATTAGATTTTGGAGCACGTAGGTCAAAGGTCAAGGGTCACAGAGGTCAACTTATGAAATTCCATACATTGAGATCGTTATCGCGATATCTCAAGAACCACTGGAGAATTTTCACTTCAAACTTAATGATAGTATGTATCACCATATCATAATATCTCAAGAACCACTGGAGATTTAAACTTCAAACTTAATGATAGTGTGTATCACCATAGGAAGACAATCTGATTAGATTTTGGAGCACGTAGGTCAAAGGTCAAGTGTCACAGAGGTCAACTTATGAAATTCCATACATTGAGATTGTTATCATGATATCTCAAGAACCACTGGAGATTTAAACTCCAAACTTGTTTAAATTGCTCTATGGCGGAGGCATCATTTTCGACTGCACGCAGTCAAAATTCCATCTAGTTTTTCTTATGTTTATTATTTTAAAAGTTTACTTTAAAAAAATCAACATGTTAAACAAGTATGTCAACTTGTCAAGGATCCTTTGACATTTGAAGTATTCTCATTTCTGAGCCTGCACATAATTGATGGGTGATGAACCATTTGATTTACATATGCTATCTGTTTTAATAACCATGATTTCTTTATTTTATTTTCTATTTTTGTTATAGATCTTTTCTAGAGAAAGCTATGATCCAAGGAAGGCCTGATAATGCTTTCTGTAGGATGGAGAGAGGGGAATCCACAGCAAGACAGGTTAACAAAAATAGGAATTATGCTTCAGAAGTTCAGACCCTGGAAAACAACTATTGAAAGATATTCACACAAAATACTTGATTTTAAATACACAATGCAATAACAAGTCAGAGAAGCTGTATTTAAGCTGACTTTGCAAGTTTGCACACATTTTTGTCCTTTCCTACTTACTTAATTTTAAATGACAAGGATAACGTTTGCCCACTGAAGAAGACATCTACCATTGATGAACAGGCATAGTCCTATAGCATCGTTGGATTAAAGTAAAGTAAAGTAAAATACTCAACAATCAAGAGAATTTTCCTCCTGTCACGACAGTGCTATATCAGCAGCAAACTGCAAAGTTTTTATTTTTCATCATTGTGGATGCCAATTTCAGGCACTGTCACTTCTCCGTTTCACAATTGTTAAGGCTATATTAGTATAAAATGTAACGTGCTAAACACATCTAGGAAACTATGATTGAGATATTACACTTTATTTTTAAAATTCTATAGATATACTCTTTATCCATATCCAATTTCATAATGGTTTCCAGTTTTTGTAATGGGGGGATACAGAAGGGTTTGGGTCTAAAGTATTCCCAATATGTATAATCATGCATGGCATAACCCAATCATGTCTTTTTCAAAATAGACTTTGCTAAAGAGTTTATTTGAAGTTTAAAGTTTTTGAAGTTTTATTTATTCCACATTTTACATAGAAAAACAGTTTATATTCTTTCTTTTTTTTATACAGGCATGTATTATTATAAGAATAGATTTCACACAAGAAAAAAAATTATTAAACAAAATGAGAGAATTCAGATCAAATATAATGTACGGAAAATAAGTACAAAATTTCAAAATATGTATATATGAAAGGCTGGGTAGAACAATGTAAAATGTGGGGAGCCTAAATAAAAAGCATAGCTTGTATGTGAATAGGCTCCCGTACTGAGTAACACAATATATATTAAAGACTGTTGGGCAATGTCCAAAGAAGAATTCAAAATTTCATGATTTCCCAACTTCCTTATCAAAGAACCTTTAAAACCCATGATGTACCATGGCAAAATGCAGTACCCCAAATCATTTCTCTTTCCCTCTTTTTTTTCTTCTATATCTTTCAAACCAGTTCGCAGAAGAGTTCACTAAGGACTGTCAGACACTGTCCAAGGAAGAAGGCCAAGTGCTCCCTAAGGATTTCAATGCCAGCAGCATGTTTGATACCTTCATGAACATCAAGATGGTCCCAGACATGCTCAATGCTGTGTCTGTCCTCAAGCAAAATGGTAACATGAACCAAATTTCTCAAAATCATTTCAGGTCTAAGTTCTTGGCCTTCCAATAGAAATACTTGTTATAGAATTAATATGTATTTCAGTTGGGTGTCCACAACTCCACATACTTACCTTAGACTTATGAAGGTTTTGAGAAATTGCTAAAAAGCTGAGTTTTTTCAATATTTTTTCACATAAAATTATTTGAGCATTTTGCTGATGTAGAATGCCTTGAAATTACAGCATATACATGTACATTTGGTTAATACATAGTTCATAATGTTGCAGGTAAATTGAAAGAGAGAGAGAGAGAGAGAGAGAAAGAGTGAGTGTAACTAAAATAGTAAAAACAATGATGAATGGAAATTAAATACACATGACTCTTAAGTTTATTCTGCTCTATGATGACATATTCTTCATTTCTGACACCAGATGGAGGATGGGGAAAGGAGAAGTGATATCATCATTAACAACTCTGTAAATATTCCCTTTTATTACAAACTATAAGGTGTAAAAACAGCAGCAGTGACCAACAACTACATCGATGATCGGGAGCAGAACTCGTTAGGCGCTGGTGTCATGACAACACTTAGCTCCTTCTATTTCGATCACTTTGTGGAATCGTGTCGTTTTGGGAAGCGTAAACCTGACCAGAGTATTTTCAACGAAGCCCTCAAGAAACTGGGAGTGAAGGCAGAAGAGGTGTGTGAAAAAATGGGCTCAACAGCCAATCAAAATCAAGGTTTCCGTGGTTACCATTGATGGCAAAGTTACCATCAATGGTAAGTTTTGTGCAATGGGGCCCTGACTACAGGTGGCATGTAGCAAGTTCATATTACGAATGACGATTGAACATATAGGTCTAAGATAATAATTTGCAAAGCTCCTTGGAAGCACAAAACAAGGTTGTATCATAACATGATATATGCCAGGATACAATAACTGGAAATCATTAGGTCTACTAAACATTTTAGGGAAACATGACTATTCATTTTCTTTGTTTCTGTGTACATTAAAAATAAAGGATAAAATGCATTTTATCCAAATATGAGAAGTTGAGAAATAAACCGAGGCCGAGGAGGCTCAATAATTCTGCAATTAGTCAATCGTCTGTGAACAAATTATTATTGATAAATGCCCGTTTTTAAAATGTTGGAATAAATGTATCTTTTATCTGTTTTATAAAGTCTAATAATGATAGGCCTTTAGTCATGTGGTTACTGATTTGCATGCATCTAATTGCTTTTTGTAGTATACCATTACCAGCAGCTATGTCAAACCCAAAGTTTCTTAAAACCTTACAGGCAGTGTTTCTGGATGACCTGGGACCTAACGTGAAAGCCGCCAGAGAAATGGGAATCTCGACCGTCCTAGTCAAGGATACGTCTGCTGCCCTCAAGGAACTGCAAGAGGTCACTGGCATTGATGTAAGTTAAAGGGTAACAGTCACTAAATATTCCAGTTTGTAGATACAGTCTGCGCATGCGCAGATAAAGGTCACTTGTACAAAATTGTAAAACCCACTGAGACTTATACTAGATACATGCTCACGAAAGTTATGTAATCATTATTCATGCATGCACCTGTGATGCATTCTATTGAACATAGGTGGAAGTAATGCTTTCAAGAGGGCAAACGAAGAATCCCCTCCATGACTTTAGCTGTGATTATTCCAAAAGGCACAAAGTGGGATTTCTCTATGTTTAAAATATTTGTGGATATTTAGGGTCATCTGACCCATGTGCTAACTACGAACTGGTCTATTCCTTATGCTATGTATGTTAAGGGCTATAGGTCGCTACACTTTAGTAAAAACATGAACTTTACATACTGCTCCTATAAAGAGATATTATGAGATTAAGGTCACATCATGTATTCTGGTGAATCTGTCAGATTCTAACGTAGAGGGATGTGAAATGTTCTTAGTAATCTATCAGTCTTTTTGTGTAAAGAAACAGAAGAACAAGAAATTGAATCAGATAATGCAAAAATGACACAAACTCATGCTGCTCACTGGAACGCCATTACAACTCATTCAGAAAAATTATTTTACAATAAACCACAGCTATGAACTTTGAGCATGTATCTGATTAAGACCCCATGAGGCAAGGAGCTTGTGTTGGGTATGTCTGAAACATTTTCATTTGTTTTCTCTCCCTTTGATACCTAGGTTTTTCAAGAAGCCAAACCTGTCTCTGTTCATCATGAGAGGGTTCCTCATTCCTATGCTACAACCAGGGTAAGTTGACAGTGTCAATCCAGGGGGGGCGTTTCACAAAACTTGTCATCAGTGACAAATGACAATTTTTGTTATAAGCTACAGAAATCCTTGCTTCTGATTGGTTATCAACAGATCTGTCACTGAATTTTGTTATTTGTCATTGAAAAATGCTTTGTGAAATGGGTCCCTGATCACAGATATCCTCCCCCCCCCCCCCCCAAAAAAAAAAAAATCATCTCTAGGACAATTCTTTCAAGATCTTGTATCGCCAACAGAAATTTGTCATTGTATCAATAGTAGAGGAAGTGAAAACGATTCCTTATCTGATATCCTGATTGTGAACCAAAAAACAACATGCATGGGGTTTTGTTCCTATAATCTACAAGCTGAGCTTTTTAATAGGTTCCTCACATTTCACTCTGTATAACCTTCTATTCATTACAATTAATTTTGACGTCTTTTCAAAGAATTAACTATATAATGTGACTCTTTTAGTATATTTCAATCAATTGTGTGAACTCTTTTTTTTTGTGAAATATGAAACAAATAAACTTGAACTTGTGTTCTCGATGGCCATTTTTGTAATTGTACCAAATTTAATGCACAAATCTGTGTCGTGTTACAAATTATTTGTATTTCGATAGTCAGAATGCAATTTGCATACATTATGTGTTAGGCAGGACAAGCCAGTGTTTGTCCTACCTAACAATAATATTTCTTAATTCAATTTTCTATACCTTTTTAATTTCATTCCATTAGAGTGGAGTTAAGTTTCACTACGTAGACATTGGTAGTGGTCCCCCGGTGATCTTTTGTCATGGGTTCCCTGAATCATGGTACGAATGGAAATCTCAGGTAAGCCGTGTCGTATGGCACAAATCACAAATTCTCTGGTACAGTTATAGAAAATCTTTATTTATTTCTTGCGTTTGGATCAGACTGTGGTAAGAGGAGAATAAGTTCGCAAAGAATTTTCAGTAAATATGACAAAGAAATTAAAGAATTTCAATACTCTTTTTAATGAATGCCTCAATAGCCAGCAGGGTAAAGCTTATGCATTAGACAAATAGGATAATCTTCATAGCTTGCTGTCAATACTTAATATTTCAGCAATGGAGGGAGTACATGCATGTGACTGACTTTGAAACTATATTCTTATTCTTTTATACACTGTTTTTTGACCATATTTCAAGAATATACGACTTTAACCATGCATGTATTTTGATCGTGTTCTCATAATTGTAGAATGTTTGCATTACAAAACTATTCAGGTTCTAAACATTACGTCAGTGTCTGCATGTCTTGTTAATAAGATTACAACAATCTTCCTCCCTTATTCTATTTCATTAAAAAAAAGAAAAACTTTGTCATTTGTTTAGATCCCAGCTGTGGCTGCTACTGGTTTTCGTGTGATTGCTATGGATATGAAAGGCTATGGAGAAAGCAGTAATCCACCCGGTAAGTAGGATAGATTGGAAATTACAGATAATAATAATCATGCAAATAACATTATGCATTTACATTGCACCATCTGTCTATTAAAACTATTCTAAGGTGCATTTTGAAATTAAGAAAGTTAGGATGAAGTACTATGAATATGACGGACAAAGAAAGAGGACAAAATATACAGTTCCTCATTCTATCCTCAACAATTGCTGTGGTAGACAAAGGAACATCCCTTCACTGCTATTATGTAAATATGTGTAGAACAGATGAATGTGCATGTGACACCGGTTCTACACATTTTTACATAATAGCAGTGAAGGAATGTTCTTTTGTCTACCTGAGGAACTGTATATTTTGTCCTCTTTCTTTGTCCGTCATTTTCATAGTGACATAGAAAGACTACAAGATACATGTGGTACAAAATGTGTTTTGATATATCAGTGCTCATTGGATGTAATGCTACCAGAAAGAGATGACACAGGATTTTGGTAAGGAACTGTCTCATTCATATCAGCTCATATAAGCAGAATCAACTCTGATTACTGAATGTACGAGTACACTGAGTTTGTAAATGTTTGTTGTGTGTTCACATATTATATCATATTATTTCATAAAGTTATTTTTTTATTTTTTTTTTACTTCCTGCAGAAATCGAGGAATACACACTGGAAAGGATGTGTAAGGTAATACCTCTGAGCCTTTGTGGCAGATTAGCTTTGTGCTACACAAGTTATCCAATAGTGTCTACTTCTACTACTACTACTACTACTACTTATACTACTACTACTACTTCTACTACTACTACAACTACTACTTCTACTACTACTACTACTACTCCTACTACTACTACTACTACTACTACTACTTCTACTACTACTACTACTTCTTCTTCTACTACTACTACTACTACTACTTCTTCTACTACTACTACTACTACTACTACTTCCACACAAATATGTACTTTCTTTTTATATCCTTCATGCACTTATTTTGTTTCTTTCATTTTTTTCTCTCTCTCACTAACTTTTCACATCACATTCTCATCCTGTTTTGGGGGGCTATCTATATTCTGTTTTCCTCTTTTTCCCCCTCGTCAGCCATGTGTTCTTATAACATTGATGCTAGTTTCTAAATCATTGGATTTCACTACAGCACATAGAAATTGTGCAAGGCTAACTTAGCTTATTAACCTGCTTATTTATTTGGGCTTTTCCTCTCAGCAAGATAAGTTGAAAGTTGAGCAGGATTTATTTAAGATTTGAGTGAGAAATGTTTACGCTGTGTAATTCAATTTGATTAATGATAGATTTATTCTGAGTACTAGAAATGTATAATTACTTTTTAAATTCACTTTCATGCCAGATACACTTTGTTCGAGGTGAAATTGAAAGAAACAGTTTGTATTAATATTCAAATGTCATTATTTGCGACATAGAATGTACATCAGAGGTGAAATGATTTGAAAAGATGACTCATATTGTCAATTTTGATGTACACTTTCGATAAAACTCTTTTCCTTCTTTTTCTTTTTCCAGGACATGGCTGAATTCATGGATACCTTGGTAAGTATATGCACAGTTGATTCAATTAAATTCAATCTCAGCTTTAATATGAAAATAAATGGAAAAAAACTTAAGCTGTGAATTAGAAGCCATAAAAAGTAAATATATTGTTTTCAATTTGTTGTTTTACTAAGTAAACAAGCATTCCAGACCAAAATATTTTCTATTAGTTATTTATAGGCGATTTAAGAATTAGACAAATTGATAGAACTTTCCTTCGAAATACAAGGATTTTACTAATAATATAATTTACACAAAAAAGAAGGCTGTACCTTTATATCCATGCACAGCGTTGAAGAAGACACTTGCAGTATACTAACACTACAGCACAGTGTAATTCTATAGAACAAAATCCCAATATATCAGGCTTTAATCTAAGGTAGAGGTGTCATGGTCAAGTGGTTGTAACGTTTTGCTGGTTGAAGGTTGTGGGTTCGAGCCCCAGCGTGGCACCAATAACCTTTGGCAAGACATTAATCTACATTTGCCTATCTCTACCCAGGTGATAAATGGGACTGGAAGGAAGGAATTCCTTGAATGCTGTATGCACCAAAATGGGTAGCCTAGTAGTTAGAGCTGGGTCAATATTGGAGGGCCTTGAGCACCGTTTGTGTGCTATAAAATATCCAATATGAATATTATTATTATTATAATCATTATTGATATCATTGTTATTGTTGTTGTTATTGTTATCATTAATATTATTATTATTATTATTCACAGTGTATTCCTCAGGCCACTTTCATCGGTCACGACTGGGGTGGTTTTTTTGTCTGGAACTATGCTACTCACTACCCAGACAGAGTCAGGTATATAGTTACACAAAGCTTTTATTAATATTATACCATTTGACCTCAATCTCAATTTGCCTATTTCAGTATAAATATTTTGCCACAGCGTGAAGCTTTAGTTAGTTTTTTATAGTCATTCTAAATTTTATATCAATCACGTTTTAATGACAGTATAAAATAATGTCTTTAGAGAACCTTCATGTATAATAAGCAGCATTGCCTTTATGAGAATGAGGTTACAATTCAAAAGATAATATCTTAGCATTTAAAGACCATGATGCACTCAAGCTTCTGGAATGTGATGAACATTATTAGCATATAATAAGATATTTTCATTGTTCATGTTTTGTTTGTCTATGTGCGTTTGCCAGAGAATAAACAGAGTATAACAAAATGCAAAAGCAAAACAAATCAAAACTAAAAGTATTAAGGGGGAATGTAAGAAATGTTTAATCATAAATTTTGGTGCCAAACTCTAACAACTATTTATTATCATTTGAATCTTATTCCTCATAGCGCTGTGGGTGGTATCTGTACCCCTTTCTTTCCTGCTAATGACACCATGAATCCATGGGAGAATATAAACAAGAATCCTGGGTTATATGACTATCAGCTATACTTCAATGAAGTGGTAAGTGCCTTCTCTAAAAAAAAAAACACTTTACTTCATCCCCCCCCCCCCCCAAAAAAAAAAAAATATATATATATATATATATATATATAAACAAATAATAATAATTATAATAATTATAATTAATTAATAAACATTTTTTTAAATACATTATTAAAGGAGGAGGAGAACAAAAAAAGAAAGCCTCAGTTTATGAATTAATTAACTCACCATGGAAACCTACAGAGAATATCTGTTTAAGAAATAGGTAGTTGGATATCTTGCTCGATAGATGTATATATGAATAAGTCACTAGACTACAAATTAAGTGGTAACGCTAAGTGATATCCAGTTGAATTACTAGTGTCTATTCAACCAGGCATTATGAATATATATTTGCCTCTCATGACACAGGTGAAGTCATGGGTACCCTATAGGAAGGAATGTTTGAGCACCTTATGTTAGATGGGCTAAAGTTAGGGTTATAAATCCAATAACTTCATAAAGTGAAATCAGTATTTATTGATTATTATAGATATTAACTGCAATATATTGTTATTTGAATTTACAGGGACCGCCAGAAGCCGAGATCGAAGCCAATGTAGAGAAATTTGTTAAAGCTTTCATGAGACGCCCTCTAGAGGTAAGTCAATGTCATGTAGCACATGAATTATTGTACCAAGTATTTAAAACTTTCCATTGAAATCATTTTACATTTGTCTTGAAATCGTCTCAGATTATTCATACAGTATTTTCATTGTGTGGGGCTTAAATGTTTTGCTCAACTTCCAAATTCCAAATATAGCGAGCGAGCAAATGTGTTGAATCTTAACTACAATGGCAATGTAAGTTAGTTTTTAATTGTACAAGATGATTCATAACACTTAGAAACTGACTATCCTTGTGCTCCAATACAAGATGGCTATCCAACTTTTCTTTGTATTACTTTTATTACTGTTATAAAAAGAAAGATTTGTCATCGGTTGTCACATTTTCAGATTATTCCAAAGCACTGAAAGTTTATGTTCAAAGCTCAGGAAATTTGAAAGAGAGTGATCAAATATTACTTGTATGAAGAACCTTATGACCGGTAGTTTAGTTTTGACTGTTGGTCCCTTCTCTATACATAAAGGTCAAGTGATATTACAGAGTAAACAATATCTTTGCTTTTGTAGGGGGAAAATCCTAATTTTGTTTTCCGTTTCTCTGTCTGCAATATTTGAACAGCTTAAAGAAATTGGATTCTCTGTTGCTGGGGTGAGAGCAAAAGGTAGGTCGTAGCTCTGTACAGTCTTTTTTTGTTGAAGATACAATGTAGACTGGAAAGTCGGCTGAAGGAATTTATACATGCACCCGAAATATAACCATTGAATACGTTTCTACATATCCTCTTTATTTATGAAGTAGATTTAATTTGACATCAACAACCGAGAAATCAGAAATTAAAGAAAATTCTAGTAAAAAGCAAACGGGAGAGAAGCACTAAAGGCATGACACAGAGTTGCCAATTCACATCTCATCGATTCCAACTTTGACAAATCATTACTTTCATGTTTTCCATAGTATTTTCCCGAACAGATTTGTTTCTCTCATATGTCTGTTTTTATTACAAGCAATTTAATATCAGGTCGGACTTCCCCTTTAAAGGTAAAGACCAGTATTGGAAGCGCCCCAATTTAAAAAAAAAAAATGAAATGGAAGCTCTTATTACCAATCATGTGAAAAGAGTATGTTTTGACTAATACATGATGATAAAAAATTTGCCGGGAAACCGCCTACTAATTGATATATTTGGTAAATTGGTTTATCTATTGGTGTGTGAGAGATAAACGCACGTGTCGCGCACGTGTGCGTAGTCCCATATACATCTTTCTGTGTACAGTGCTTGTAACTTTATGGAGACTGGTCCAAATTTCTTATCATTTTGATGATTCCAGAACCTTGCAGTACACACCTTGCAGTACACACCAATACTTATATGCTAGAAGATCAACCTTTTCTGATCGATTCCACAACGTTTCTTTCACAATGCAATCGCATGATCATAACTGGTCTATACCTTTAATTGGTACATGTAGTATTGTTTTGTTCTTATCAGGCAGTTCATTATTCTCACCCTTTGTAGGTGGTATCATGGCCGGTATCCCTGATGACATCAACAGTACACTCCTAACAGAAGATGATGTCCAATACTACGTCAAACAATTCAAAACATGTGGCCTCAGGTGAGCACATTTCCTTTGACATTTATGAAATTATTTAGTGAATTGTATGCAAGAATTACAGGGTTGCCAGCTTGGAAGTGAAGGAAAACCTGGAAAATAAATTTGTTTGTATTTCAGTCAGGGAACAGTCAGGGAATTCGAGAAAAATCACTCGAATCAGGAAAAAATCAAGGAAGAAATTAGTTTATTGGCTGAAGAACGTATCTACTTGATCATTTGTCTGTGGTGGCTTTTTAGCCTGTAAAATGCTTCCTTTTCTTCTGGGACCATTATATTTCTTATTCTACATTAAAGATTCTATGTGTAAGTGTAATAATCCTGGAAAAACTCATGAAATGCTCGGAACCATGTGTATTCATATACGATAAAATCATCAAGACTTATGTATATATTTTGTTAATGAATTATATAAAATGGCTATGCATACGTAAATAAGTAAATTTGATAAATCAGGTACAAACGAATACTATATGTACAGCTCTATCAAACTTACATTCCACAGAAATTGTTCTTTTAATACCTTATTTTATTTCTGATCTTCTAGGAGTATGTTAAATTGGTATCGAACAATGGAAGTTAACTGGAAGTTTAATCATCGTGCAATTGGTCGAAAGGTATGTTTTGTTTTTCCATTTCACATGTTCATGTAACTTTAAACTGGTTTCAATTTGTTGTCTTTAAGACATCTATTTATTCCTTTATTCATATTTTTCTTTAACAGATATTTAGCCTTGACCTGTGTATTGTAATGTATTGTAAGTGTTAGAACATTCATCCATCATGAATCAGTTATCAGCCATATCACAAAGATATTTATTGAAGATAAAGAAGTGTTATTAGTTGAGGATAGACATTGTATTTTAAAATGGGGTGGAGGTGGGGGGGGGGCAGCCTCTAGCCAATGTCCCCTGTGGCTTTATGACATCTTTGTGTAATATAATACTTTAAAAAAATAATAAAAACGTTACTTACAAAGCGCTTACCACCGAAGTCTCTAAGTGCTATAACAAACAAAAATATACTGATAAACAATTACATATTAAACAAAACAAAAAAGTGCAAATAAACCTGCAAATTACAGAGTTAATTAATCAGCGAAAGCAATTTTGAATAAATGTGTTTTAAGACTAGTTTGGAATAGGTTAACAGTTTGACAGTTTTTGACATTTAAAGGGTAGTCTGTTCCAAAGTTCAGCAGAAGCTTTGCAAAAAGGGCGATTACCATAAGAAAGAGTTGACACAGAAGTAGACATGAGGTTTAATTGTGAAGATGACTGTAAATTGCGCGAGGGTTTGTATTCCTGGATTAGTTCTTGCAGATAAATTGGTGCCAATTAATGAATGCATTTATAAGGCTGTACCCCTCTTTATAAGTTCTCATTTTGTCCTCTCTTTTTTTTTTTTCCACAGCTGTACATGCCAGCCTTAATGGTAACCTGTGCAGGGGATGCAGTCCTTCCACCATCAGCGAGCAAATTCATGGATCCATTCGTAAGACGTCATTTCCCTCACTTGCCTCACATTATGGTTTAACAAATATTCCATTAGGATTCTTGTGTTCATGGAAAAGTGAAAAGAAATCATCAATTTTCATGGAAATATTGAGAACCTATTGACTGTGAAGACATGATTATTTAGGCTTTAAAGATGCTTTGCTACAATAATAGTTGCTGTGATGCAAACTCTGTCTTAATATTTCATGAACAAAATAAAAATGTCCATACATTTTGTTAGTACTTGAAAATATTTGAAAGTAAGAGATTTAACAGATTATGAGATGTATACCATGTTATTATTACTATAATCATCATTATCATTATTATTAGTAGTATTAATATTATTCCATCGCCTCTTTTATTCTAATTAGGTGGTAAACTTAACCAGAGCTCATATTGAGGACAGTGGACATTGGGCATCTCTAGAACAGTAAGTACAGATATAAGCATGATATGACACAGTCACAAAACAAACTCATCTCAAAACCCTTTACCTAGCATTCTTTGGACTAAGATTATAAGCACCTGATTATAAGTGTGAAGAAACTAAAGAATATCACAGAAATCAGCACACGGAACCCTTGTCTGACATGGGCCTTATTCTATAAGAGTGTGTGTGTGTTTAATTAGGTTTTTACAGACGTGTATCAATCAGATATGATTATTTACGTCTGGGGACCGACCTTTAACGTCACCATCCGAAAGACGTGACTCAGTTTAGAACCTGCGTCCTCGGCTGAATCAGTTTGTAACTTCCACTGTTAGCTGGATTACAGGCGCACGCCACAATGCCTAGTATGTCAAGTAGTCTACTCACAAGTCGCTCTTTTATTAATTTAGAGTGTACAGAATTTGAACTTCCAATGCAAGATTTCATTGTAGAAGTAATATTTGAATATCATTTTTTATTTGGTGATGGTAAACTATCATTTGTTTAAGTGTTAGTTTTAGTCAACTTTGCTTGGCCACTACCTTTTCATCTATCATTTTCTTTTTTATTCCAGGCCAAAGAAACTCAATAAGATCCTTGTTGATTGGCTGAACAAGGTGCACAAAGATTCCAACCGACCAATCTTCCCTTCCAGTCTGTGAGGATACAGACATGATGTTAGCCAGCCCCTGATTGGCCAGTGACAATAGATGGAGACAAAATGGACCAATCATGTGCATTATTGGGGAATACATTGTTGCCAATCAGATAACTCAAATTATGATTATCAATGATTTTGAGATTAAATTCTTTATTATTACAAAATATCATTGTTCTTATATTGGACGTGGGAAAAGGACTACAGAACATGTTATATGTTTTGATGATTAGAAGAAAGAAAAACTATTTGAAAGGACGATACAATAATTGAATACTTTGTAGGTATTGCATGCATTAATTAGCTTATCCATACATCATGCTTGTGTATATTTGAAGCCTCTTTGTCAACATAAACATGGAAAGGGTTCATTACTACGGTATGCTCTTTTTCTCCCTCTCTCTGTCTCTCTCACCAATTTCTCATAGCTGCCAACCATTGCTATATGTGGAGGAATTATTCCTATAGTTTGGCCTTCAGCCGATGTTATGAACCTAGATTCCTCTTTTGTCCGAAACTTCTGTTTAAAAATTATACTAGATAAACTGTATTCCTAATTTTGCCTGAGAGAATCCTAAATTTTGCATCAAAAGCTTGGCAAGTATGCTCTCTTACACCTCTATTTTTCTATTTATCTTTCCTTCTCTCCCCCTCTCTCTCTCTCTCTCTCTGTCTGTACATCTACTCTATACACATATTTTGACTTCTCTATATATATATCTACTGTTGAAAGTCAAAAGGATGTTAACTCTATATGAAATGCATTACTTCGTGCCCATCTGGCTCTCGGCAGACAGTATTACCTTGTCTTGCTTCATCACCATATATTGTGACATCTAAAAATCAATGCAGTATTCAATTTTCTCATGTTTTAAAGAAAAGCAAAGCAAACCAATTCACAGCTTATTCCCTAGTCACACTGCCGAACCACTAGGACATTTGAAGGAGGGGCAAGGGGGAACCCCCCCCCCCCTCCCCCCTCTTTGACAGATTTCCAACCAAGAAAAAAACTTACTTTTATCAGGTTCGGGAATCATTTGTACATGTAAGTCAATAACTGTAAGATTGCACATTGAAATGCATCGCTCGATTTTTAAATTCTCATTTTCTTTGACCCTTCCCCTCCCCCCTCCTTATCACAAACTAGGGCCCTAAAAAGTACTTTCCTTACTCAAAAAGATTTCAGTAAGCTGAGATATTGTGCCCCACCTGAGGCCAAGTCAGCATACGCCACTTTTCCAAACTGACCAATAATCGAGAAACTCTTAGATGCAGGGTAAAGTAATAATTTTGTTTGGTCTGTTTTTTCTCTGGTCAGGATAACTTGCATATAAAAGATTAGTTCAATATTTGAAGGGTTTCAGACATGAGATTGTAGTATTTAGACAGTGTCAAATGTATTCGTCAATTGTTGAATTGGGAATATTGGGTTGTGCCATGATTGGACACAATGATAAATTCCACCCCAACAAAAAAAAATATATATATATATAGTTATTAATAGCAACATTATCCAATATCTATTTTTAGAGCAGAAATGCTATTGAATCACTTTTCATTTTAAGCCATAAATTGATGTGAATCATGAAAAAATTGTTGTTTCTCAGGTATCTGTAAGTATTATGAACGAAGCATGGGATATCATTTTTGCTACCAAATCGTGGAAACTGTTTTTCTTCTATATACTAACATTTTGATTATTTTATGTTTGATTGTGATAATAGCTTAGGCATATATATATATTTTGATGATGACCAATCTTCCAATGTTTGGAAATTATTTAATGTGGTTTCTCAAAGTCTAAAGTGTTTAATAGTACACGATTATATGCATGGCAAAAGAATAGTTTTCAATATGATTTGTCTTTAAGGTATGTTATTGTTCCAAGAAGAACTAAAATAATATTGTAATTTTTTTAAAGAGATATGTAGTATATGGACATATAATTTGATCACAAAAAGTAATATTTTCAATGAATAAATTACGCATTTGATAATTTATTAATTTCTTATTTTGTATTCTTTAGATTAACCGTGTTGTTATATCATTTGCAGTAATAAAGGAATAGACCAGTTCTGGTCATGCGATTGCATTGTGAAAGAAACGTTGTGGAATCGATCAGAAAAGGAATCTAGCATATAAGTATTGGTGTGTACTGCAATGTTCCGGAATCATCAAAATGATAAGAAATTTGGCCCAGTCTTGGTAAAGTAACAAGCACTGTACACAGAAAGATGTATCTACGCGATGTCTATCCAGGCCGGATCAGTATGATAATTTACCAAATATATCAATTAGTAGGCAGTTTCCCGGCAAAATTTGTATCATCACGTATCATCACGAAGAGCTTCCATATCATTTTGTGAAAGGGGGGGGGGGGGCGTTTCCGAAACTGGTCTATATATACCTTTAAATTCAAATTGACGTAAAGTAGGCCATTTTTTTACTTTTGCATTCTCTAATTTCTTTTATATCAGCAACTGAGAGAAATAAACATGTAATAATAATGATTATCTAAATCATAATCATAACCCATAATAATAATGATAATGATAAAACTAATAATAATGATGATAATGAAAATAATAGTAATAAAACAACTTAAATGTAAGGCTGGGCGTAGCTTTGATGGCAACGCCATGCCCATGTCAAGCATAAAAGAACGGTTAAAAAGCTGTATTAAGCGATCATACATGTAGATACATTGAACTATATTATACGTCAACATTCTGATATTGGATACCGTTCCTGGCAACTTAATTCTGCGGCGGGATAAACAATGATACAAACATGCATTGTGTACTGATGTATTGTTTGGCATTAAATTTGTTAATAAATCTAAATTCTACGATCATTGTACTTCTTAGTTTACAAGAATTTAGTCTGAAACAGAACAGAGTTTGACAAAATGAGATGAAAGATGCTTTGACAAGAAATCATAGATGGGGTATTTTCACCAATACTTTCGATGAAGGCATGTGAGTTATAGTCATCTACGAACCGTGGTCTTGGATACAAATCTTCCATACAGGCGTAAGGGCATTTTCACGGAGGGGAGGGGGGACACCTCTTAACGAATATCAACCTAAATGTTGTATGTAAATAAAGCAAGCGAGCCCCTTTCTGCCCCCGCCCCCTCAAGGGAAAACAAATTAAAATATTTACAATGCTACTTATTTCGTCATTAGTAATATAAGAATTGAATTTGGTCACCTTGCTACCTGCATATGACAATCGGGCACCTCGCCGCCCGAATGTGAAGTATACAAGTCATGGTTGTCCGAATATTAACTGTATTGCAATATAAAAATATATATCCTCAACCCCACCCCCTCCCCCCCCCCCCCCCCCCCCCACCTCGAAAGCCTATGCAATCTACGCATATACAGATATTAAGGTCATTAGAATCCACATTGCAAAACTGAGATAGATACTAATGCATAATATACATGCTCCTGAAAGTCACTTAATTGATTTTCATTTCCTTTAAAGTAAAAAAATTGTTCATTTACGCAGATGGCAGGATTCTTTTAATAGTTAAACAAAAGCCCTGGGCCACGAGCTTCTATATCAATAGGCTATTTCAATTGATTGTAAATGTCAAATATAATGCTTTGTTAAATGTATCGTTACGAATTATTTCATTCGCCTTGCAGACCATTATCTTGCTACAAAATTTAGGGCAATTCGTGTTTTTTCTTCCAAGTCGCCTTGCTCGCAAGTCCATCAGTTTTCAATATAACTGTATAGAAAATATTGCTAGTGCGCAGTGTATATAATTAATTTCTCTACAAACAGAGGGAAAATTACCGTCCTTGTTCTCCTCCCAAAACAAAAATACTATAATGCATCAATCGTTCCATTGACAAGATTTGTATTGCTTTAAATTGCAGCGTCTCAACATTCAAAAGTCTAACCCTTTTTAGTCACTCGTTCAAAACGCCCCCTCACATAATTTATCAACAATTTTTGTCTTCTTTTTTCTTCAAGACTGTACTGTAGAAGCCGTGTAGTACAACAAGGCCCCTCATATATTGAGTACGGGGGATTTACTCCAAACTTTTATTTAGTCAGATTTAATTGAAACTTTCATCAGTTGCTTCCCTGATTTTGTTTTTTGCTTTTTTTTAGAGTAGGCCTATATTGTCTCTTTGGGTTGGATTTCCCTATTAAGAAGCCGGAAATTCATTTTCCCCAACAGTCCAACTGCCCCTCCCAAGATCCCAACATACATTGCATCTAATAATTTTTCAGAATGAATAAACTTGTTGGTGCTCGAAAATACAGTTTCAACCTTCCAAAATCTAAATACTTCCCTTGGTCGCTCCATTCCCTTGCATTCTATATAAAGGGAAAGTTTCATATCACCATAATATAGGCGCCCTAAGTATACGTATTTAATCGGAAGCACTATCAAAGTTGGCACATGCTCAATCTTGTTAATCATAATTTTGTAGCAAGTTGTGAGTTGCCTGTCTATTAACTGGTACATTTAAGTAAAGTTTATTAACATTTTCACATCTTTTTATTCACAGAAGCACGCAATAATCACAAAGGAACAAAAGTGTATACTTAGTCAACTGCGAATAACTAAATAGCCGAATGAAATAACTTTGTCACAAAATATGTTAACGTTTTAATATCTGTTACTGCCATACACACACATGCACTATGACCATCAACATATTTCCAACACGACACTTTATTGAAAAATTCATACCATTATTAAACAATCAAACACCAAACCGAATCACTCACTGAGATAGAAAACATTTTTGCTTATATGTCTTAATTTTTAACTTACTCATATTCAGGTCGCCCAGTGTTGCACTTCCTCAGATCTAATGTATCTTCACTCGCTCAGTCAAGGCTATAACTACCGGCTTTTTCCATCTTTCACTTTAGCCTGCTCTAGTTGTACGTTCCAAGTATTCCAGCTATGATATTGCAGGGGAGGAGAATTGCTAGATATTCCCATATTATCTTGGTTATCCACAAGTGTTAGCTAGGTGCAGGTTGATATTGATTTGACACGGAACAGAGTGGTATACTAGCCTAAATATACACCAGTCGGCAGTCCAAGCTTTGTATTAGCCCTGCATGCTGATCAGCTGAAGCAACGAACTAAAATGACGATTCAACAGGCCACTTTCGTATTGTAGTCACATACGCCTTTGTGAGTCAGAATGCAGATTGCATACATGTTGCTAGGTAGGGCAAGGAATGTTGTTTGTCGGCCTACTGGCCTTATCCTTCCCTTCCCTATAGGGGTGCCTACTCAGATTTGGTTTAGACGGGGGTGTGCCACTCAAGCCTCGAAACCCCTACCCATTTTTAAGGGTCGACCATTTTGGCAGAAAAAAGGTACCCAGTTTTCTCGAAATATTGGCCAATTTTTCGCAATAATTATTTTTGAAAAAACGAACAAACAACTGCAAATGCCCAACCTATAGTAATTCCAAATCTCTGTCCTTATTCAAACGATCTTTTCACAACTAAATTAGTTAATACCATAAGACATTAAGGGAATTTGTCTTTTGTTCTAATATAAATACCATTGTGTATTTGCACTCTTGCAAACAATGCCTCCTGTTCATCCAAGCGTGAACACATACCACACAAAAATGATACCAAATGAATTGGGATAAAATACCCTTTCATAAGATGTATAATAATTTACTGTTCATATATAATTTTTTAAATGATTAGCAATTCTCTAGGTGTAATTTTTTTGTTTACTCTCACTGTATAGCAACAACTGATGTATTCAATTCGCATTCCGACTATTGAAACACAATTAACAGGTGAATCAACAGCTTGTTGCTAATTAACGTTTCAGGGACGGATCCAGGGGGCACAGGGGGCACGTGCCCCCCCCCCCCCCGGCCAAAAAAACACGTTAAAATCAGCACCAAATTCGCCAAAATTGTACTGGAAAATAGGGACGTGCCCCCCCCCCCCCCCAGAAAGAAAAAAAAATTGGTGTGCTCTTACCCCCCCCCCCCTCCGCTTATTCAGCGGCTAGCTGAGACGTTGCGATTTTGGGGGGACCAATAAAAAAAAATATATATGTTATATATGTCCTCTTACCCCCCGTGTGCCCCCCCCCCCGGAAGAAATTCCTGGATCCGCCCCTGCGTTTAATACATTTTGAAAATGGCTTATTCTTCACACCATAACTGGTAACACCTGTGCCCATTTAAAGATATTATGTCCCTTTTGCAGCCAACATCAAATTCTGTAGAACTTTGCAGGAATTATGAATATGTCATGTATGTCCTATCTGTGAAATTTAAACGTTAGCAGTGTCCTAATATTCAAATTATGCAAAAATTAAGCAAACCTGTTAACTTGCTAGACTTCACTGTCAGACACTATTGATTGACAAACTGGCTTTTTTTTCTTCTTTGGTAATAACATATATAAAATGAGCTGTAAAGGGTACATGAGCATTTGTCTACATCAATAACCCACTTCTTGTAATGGCCAAAATTAAACTGATTGAATCTTTGCGCAGCGGCATAAAGCGTACGACCATTCTGTACAATGGTCTGAAAAATCAGACTATTACTTACTGGCTCTATAGCCCTTAAGTCGATTCGACAACTAATAGTCGTTATTTTCCCACTTAAAGACATTTTCAAGCCCCCTTATTTTTAGGGAAGTTCTAAATTAGTACTATCTTTCAAATGCCGTTGGAATTTAACCTTTCCTTTTTTTTTGGCCTGCAAATGGGATATAGTACCTTTAAATTGCAAATACATTCCTATGCAATAAGGATTAGTTTCGCTCTTCTAAGGATTACGGTTCCCCTGAATTAACATCACAAAGAAGAGTACCCAATAAAATATTTCATTTTTATTTTGAAAATGATTAAACACTATATATATATGCCCCCCCCCCCATCATTCGATTCTTCCTTTCAAATCATGCTCACAATATTCTTCTGGAGGAATACAGTTAGGAGGGAGAGTAATACACCTGAACATGTTTTATAGATCAGGTAATTTGACACCCCAATTTATTATCATAAACTGAACTTCTCGATCAGTAACGGAAATGGGACATAATGTAATATGATGAACCATCTCGAACAATAATCACTATGATCTTATTCTTAGTTATTATATTTATGATATGCAGCATATTTCATACTTTTCCCATTTTAATAAAAAAAAATTAAGGCATATAATTAATATGCATGTTCCTGGGAATGTTTTGTCCTTACATGATAATGCTAAAGTTGTTTGATACTTAATCTACATTTTTTCTTTGTAATTTTTTTTTTGTATCACACTTCAGTTTCTGTTAAAATTTATTGGTCGACGAAGTTCAGTAGACAGAACCCAATAATCATATAAGAACACTGTATACGGTATACAGTTCATGGATTGAAGGTAGCATGCTAGTTTAAGTGGTTGTGTGCAATGTGCGCTACATGTATTACATCATCGCCGGTGTGTGATAACGACTGGGCCTACGTGACTCTTGTTTTTTTTCTTCCTAAAAAGCACTTTCTCGCTTATCAAGGCAGCGAGGGATATTGCATTTACACTTATATCAAAATGGTATGTATAGATATATTTAAAACATAATTATTATTGTAATTATGTACCTGTATTTACCACGTAAACTGATTCGAAACTAGTCTACTTGTGAAGTTTGACTTTGAGTTCAGTCCCACTCGTCTGTTTTGGTGGTAGTTAGTTTACCCGTCTTCAGTAATTTTGTGGGCGCTAGCTCAGTAGCTGGCTAGTTCAGAAGTCTAGCCAAAATTTGACCCGTAAATTTGACCCATATGTTTCAGTAGATACCCTACTGAAACATACCCAAAACGAAGTAAATTTTCATCAAATGTCCGAATAAGGTCATGAAAGTCGATAGAGTAAAGGAGGGGGTAATCGACCAGCTCCAGTTTTCGGCCGATTGGTTGGATGCATGGTAAAATCCCTTTAAAATACATTGCCTAATAGCATAACACATATCCCACACATACCATACCAGTGTCACTTAAGAACCACATTTGCAATGAAAAATATATCCTAAAATATCACATTTTAGCGATGTCCGCTACCCGAATCTGAAAAATTGAGTATCTTACGCGTGTCTGTAAGAAATATTGGTACCATAAAATGAGCTTTATTTCAAGTATTTTTCAGATTTAGAGCCCAATTTTGTGCTAGTCGCAAGCTCAAAAGTATCTCATCGCATGTATTAACACACGATATCTCTGTCTAATTCAGATTCCAATTTCCGATCACGGCAGTACTAGTTTTCGGCCTGGCGAGCTCCGGGGATCTCTGGCGTGGGATACCTGCTCCGCCCGCTAGTGCTATAGATCAGCGCGGAAACGCACGGCGCGCGCGTGCGCTTCCTGTTGACTTTGTACATGCGGCTGAAAACTGGTTCACTATACTAATAACTGCCTCCGAAACGGTGAAAATTGAAATGAATATTGTCATGGCAATTCGTGATTTTTTTCTGGGATTCTTTTTTTGTTTAAATAATAATAATATTTGCTTCATGATTTGAACAATAAATGATAATAAATAGGAAGTAAAGGGTCCAAAAAATAGGATTTTGTCTCAAAGGACAAGTCCACTCGAGAAATAACTTACTTTCAATAAAAGCAGAAAAATCAGACAAACCAATCAAAAAAAGTTTGAGCAAAATCGGATAACTAATAAGAAAGTTATGAATTTTTGGAAAAGTATGTAAAACTATGGAACAATGAGAATCATGACACAAATTGCCAAGATGGTTATCAGTTTGTGACGTCATGTCCTCACAACTTATCAATTGCTTTATGTAGTTTAATCCCATTAATTTCCCTTTTTATCCACCACAACTTGATTTCCCCATGCCTTTGACCAGGTTATATGATTTGTATCATATTGCGTGCATGACATTTCCCAAAAACTTTCATGAATTTTGAAGAATTGATACTATTTGCCGAATATTGTATGTCATAATTATTGATTTTTATATAAATAGTTTATCAAAATTCAATTTTTCATGATTTAATTGGACAAAAATTACTCTTTATTTGTGCATCCCCACAAAAACATATTACTAACAATCTAACTTGGATGCTGGTGTGAAGAAATAAGATTCTTAGGGTGAAAATAGGAAATTTATATTATCAATATAAAGAAAATAATTAGCGGATAGTGAGGACCATACGTCACAGACTCATGAGTGAGTTGCCAATTTGTGTAGTGATTTAAAAAAAAATTCATGTCATTAAAAATTCATAACTTTCTTATTAGTCATCCGATTTTGCTCAATTTTTTTGTGATTGGTTTGTCTGATTTTTCTGGTTCTATTGAAAGTAAGTTATTTTTGGAGTAGACTTGGGCTTTAAGTGAACGAAAACCCCCTCCTTTACTCTATGTTTGTTACCTGTTTTGTGTCAATTTTCTTATCTTTTTTTTAATGAGTATTTTTCACGGCAAACTGCAGTACAATACAATTGCATACCGTACTGACGGTGGGATGCGGGCGCGCGCGCGTGTTCAGTTAGCTACTACTGTATAATCTTAGTTTTCATGTTTAATGTATAGGCGCGGCCGAGTGATAACTCCTTGGTCTAACAGTGGAGACGCACAGACAATGTGGAAGACTGTGTCCCATTTGGGAGACTGTCTCTAATGTTGGAGACCTTTATCAAGATTTTCTGTAGCCTATTTGGTGAATTGTGAGAAGGTCTCCCATTTTGATTTTTGGATACCAATTTCCTTTATTTTACATTTGCTGCAAAGCAATTACGTTTTACCTCGGCTCAAAATAAGAAAATATAGTATGAGCAAATTCCTCAAAAAAATTGACTGTCTACTTTTGTTGTCATATTAAACAGTTCTTGCTTAATATGATCCACACACAAAACCAATGAGCGCCTGGCCTTAGAGAGGCAATAATTTGGAAGAGAAAAATCGCCCAGCTTTTTATATTGTTTCTTTTGTTTTTTAGTATACTAAGACTCTACTTTAGAATTTGACTTTTTAAGAAAACAATAACCTAGGAAATCCCCTTTATATATTTCATTTCCTGAGTACAAATTGAAGAAGAATTTTTCAATCCCAGGACTACAATACCAAACCTCAAATTAAAGAATTTCAAAAACAGAATGTGTACATTTTTAAAGAGATCAGGCCAGAATTTTGTTTGCTCTTTCATCCACTAGAAATATCTAGAAATATAATTGTCTCCTGCATTTAAAAAAACCTCAATGCCTTTATAGACAAGATATTCATAGATGCAGGTTAAGGAAGTGGGTGTCTTCATCTGTACACCAGCAAAATCACATATTTATTGCATGTTTATTGTTTGCCTAGAAATAAGGAAATATTGGGAGGAAATACTTTTCTGTGACTTATTTTAATAAGGTGAGAAATGTTGTTTGACAAAAAATAAGCGATGTTTCAAAGTACTATCCTGAGAAATAGGAATAAAAAGGCACATATCGGGTAGCACTTTTTGATTGGATTCTTTGGTTACTTCTATTCAAGCTGTTGTTGTATTTCTATCTATCTCCCTGCAGGCAGCCAAGTACTTGGCCCAGATAATCGTCATTGGAGGACAGGTCGTAGCAAGAGCATTTACAAAAGCTCTTCGTCAGGAGATACAAGGTATGGAATCAAAAGTGCTCTAAACTTTGAAAAACTTGTGTCTGGTTTAATTTGCATTTGGATATCTAACTTTTATCAGTTTAAAATTTGTATAACTTGCGTCAGGTCTGATTTGTGTGTGTATTTAATTTAGGCTCATTTTTTCCCCCACAGCCAGCCAACAGGCATGGAATGGAATCAAAAGTGCTCTAAACTTTGAAAAACTTGTTTCTTGTTTAATTTGCATTTGGATATCTAATTTTATCAGTTTAAAACTTGAATAAACTTGCGTCAGGTCTGATATGTGTGTGTATTTATTTTTGTCCCCACAGCAAGTCAGCAGGCAGCAAAGAGAGCTGGAGGGGGTAAGCAGGGGGCCAAGACAGCAGCAGCAGATAACCTGACAGGAATAACTTTAGAAGAAGCCCAGAAGATACTCAACGTCAAAGGTCTAGGAGACAAAGAGGCTATCCTGAAGAACTATGAACACCTTTTCAATGTCAACGAGAAATCGAAAGGCGGATCACTCTATATTCAGTCCAAGGTACTTGTACATGCATGTAGTTTGATATTGGATATAGCGAGGCTCGATCGTAAAAGATAATGATGTTCAAAGGTGGCGTACCATGGTTCTAGTCATTGAGGGGAGAGGGGCACAGGTCTCCTTTGGTGACTGAAGTGCAAAAGACAAGGGTGTTGAGTATGATAAGGGTATGAAATGGTTAACACCATCCCATCCCTCCTAGATTACCCCAAAAAGTTTAGGAGACTAAAAATTCAAAATGTAATAACATTGATGCAGTCAAACATGCTTTAGTGACCACATGTTCAGTAGAGAAATCCTCTGTTTATAAAGATCATATTTTTGTTTCCTTCAAAAAGAAGGAAACTGTCCTGTCCATACTCTATAGAGATCACTTTTCTTGTCTCTCTTGGGAAGCCTCTATATACAGATTTCACAGTATATCAGCAATTACTCATGCAATGCTTGGCACATTGTTGTTACTTCTCTTTGTCTACAGGTTCTACGAGCCAAGGAGAGGATAGACCACGAGTTGCAGGCTGCTGCAGAAGCCCAAAACAGGAAAACCATCCCGTCCGACTCTGCTGGATCATCATCACAATCATCACATGAACAAAAGGCAGATTCATGATAGTGGATAGTCTGGAAATCTTCTCATTGAACAATGAAATGTAGACAATGGAAATAATTTATGGAAGGCAGTGGAATCATTAGACTCCATCAGAGATGATACATGTACGAAAGGAGAGAAAGAGAGAAGCCCAAAGCGGGTCGGTCTTTCAGAAGATGCTTTACCAAACTGATGGATAAGATTCTGAGGATGTAACCACTGTATCCATGTCATATTGGACAATACTTTCTCAATTGACAAGTTTTGATGCCACTTTTATCCTTACAGAGTATTTTGAAAGGGATACTTGAATATCTCTCACTTCATCTGTTTGGAGCCAGAAGGGCATTAACTCTTTCAATATTTTAGTCACACCAACAACTTGACTGACATCAGACCAACATGGGATCAAACAATATTTACATTACACATATATGACCAAGAATCGATTGGTTTGCAGTCAGACTGGAGTTGGTATGGCGGTGTGACCGAGGTGTAAACCATAAGTTCAAAACCCCTTTGGCTCCAAACCAGTGATATAAAGTTTCATCTTCCAAAATCTCATGTGAATTGCTTTTTAATCAAGTTAATTTACTTTAAACTATTCTTCAAAGAGCCCAAGTCATCTTAGGCCCCAGTTTTATTGGGCCAAGTATAACGTCAGTATGATGTGATTTTCCTTGATAGTGGTACATGTCAATAACTTTATTATAGGTAAAGTAATTACTTATTGGGCATATTCATAGTATTCTTGAATTTGCAATATTATGGCATCAAGGGTGCATAAATCTAATGATACGGGATAAGTGAAAGAATTAAAGAACAGAGGCCAACTTGGTGTTCATTTTTGTTTTGAAGTTTCATAATAATGTCATCATCCATTTCAAGCCTGATGTAATTTTACCATGTACGCAAGTACTCTTGTCAATGCATGAAAATGTTTGAAAAATAAGTGTTGAAACCATTCATAGTCTTCAATAAAATGTAGACCTGCTTCCAAGTTTGGATGCACATTGGGAGAAACAGTGCAAATTTATTATTATTATTTTACATGGGATACCCTCATTACCCTGTTTTAAAACAGACAGTTAAATAAAATTGACAACTATAAAGTACCATGCATGTACAGTACTACCTGTAGTGTAATGGGCATTAGAGGGCAGCAAACAGAAGTGTACTTGGCTCTATATGAGAACTTATCAGCAGCTTTAGTACTCTTGATGTTTCTGTCTCAAAGACATAAAAACCTCTGGCCTTTTACTCTGTTAACCACTTACCAATCTGAAGAACTTTACATCATGAAATAATAGAAAAGGAAAAAAGCATTTGTTTTCACATTTGAAGTAGTGAAAGGAAAGGTACGATGTATTGTTTGGAAATCTGGTGTGATCTAAATAAATTTATACATGTATATTACAAAATCAATTACTGGGTATTCTCTGTTTTTTAAAAACAATTTTGCCCTTTTCTTTGAAACAGGAATATGTATTAAATTTATTAGCATAAGGCATCATCAGCGGACATCATGGCCCCCCTATTCATCCGCTAAAAAAAAGGGGTCATATATGGAACATAGGGGTCATTGAACCTATGTCAATTAGTCAAGTAGTATGGCTACACCAGTTTTTATTAGAGTATAAAATCAATATGATTTTCTTTCCTTCATCTAAATCAGGTAATGAAAGTAATGTCAGGTACATAATAAATAAACTTCAATGTAAACAAAAATGTGTCATCAGAGAAAATAAGGTTGCTGGCCAACATATGGTCAAGAAAGTCATGAATGAAGAAAGGAAGAAGCGAAAACATAAATTAATGTGACTTTTTACATATCTAATGTGGATAACTTGGAAATATACTACATGTATTTTAGAGTATTAAAGAGTGTGTATCTACATTTATATGAACATGAATTTGAACTACTACTGTGTAATTTCTTTGCATTTTTGCATGTAGCGGGAAGTAAAAAAAATTCAACCATTAATATAAATGTATATTCATTAAATAATAGCCTCATTTATTTTGTAATTTCATTTTAAGTATTTGAATATCAGCTTTCTTAAACTATGACCATGATTAATGGTCTGTCAAATGATTCTGCTTTAATAATTGGAAGCAAGATTTCTGGGGTCTGGGTCATCATTACTTTTAGGCAGTACATAATTAACTACAGACAAAACTGTCTATTAAGGTCATCCAAGGGAAGCCCCAAAAGTGACCACTGTAGACAGGCTGCCATTATAGAGAGGTGGCAACTAAGGTAGGTTTGACTCTGTACATGTATGAATTCAAAAGCATCCTGGCAAAAGTTATGCGCCTCAAAACTTCTGCCACAATATTCGCGACAAACTGCAATCCTTACTCTCTATGCCACCCACCGATCATACCACTAATGAGGTAGTCTCTGCTGTGTTACCATGGCGACAGACCAAAGGTCTCGGAGACCCCCCATCAGGCTCTTGTTTATGTAGAGGGTGAATGAGATGGGGAGAATGTTGGGATTATGGAGGAGTTGGAGAGGGGGGGGGGGGGGTTGGATGAAGGTTGATGTAGAGGGGCAGGATTAGTATACATTACGTGAGAACTTCAGGGAGCCGAAGTGTTTGTAGAGTAGAATAAGAGCGTGGGAGGACATATACCAAGAGAGGTAGCGAGAAGGACTTGTGGGAATACATTGTCAAAGAAACCGAGACCAAGACAGAAGAGACAAAAGAGCACAAAAGTATGGGAAGAGAAGGAGAGAGTATGAGAGGGGGAGTAGAAAATGAGAGAGGGAGAGCAAAAAGGATAGAGAAAGAGGGGGGTAGAGCATGAGAGAGAGAAAATCTAGTGGTGCAATACAGATTGTTGTCGTTCTGTACTTTTGTGTAAGAAACGGAGGGGTAGACACAGATATAATTAACGTGAAGGATCAGCTAAAAATATAGTTTTCTTCACCGAGAAGAGGGAGAGGGAGAGAAAGAGAGAGAGTCGGCAAGAATTGTAACATGAGAGATCCTCATGACTAACCACCTGGGAATGTCACATTTTGTGAACATTCCAAGTCGTGCTGCCTAATGTTCCTCACATCAGGATGGCACGAAAACTGCAGGGCCCACATCTTATCGTCTACAGAGAACCAAAATGGGTCTAACTTTTCAATTTTCATTTCAGCAATTTGTAAATAAGGTGTTGAAATCAGATTCCCATCCACAAGAATAAGATCAGGCCTTCATATTATAAATTTTAAGGTATAGTTTTCCCTTTACGAGTCTATAAGGGAACCTCAAAATTGAATCCAGCACAGAGCAACAACTCTGAAATTAAAAAAGGGAAAGCAGCCCTTCAAAATAAAAAAATTGCCAAATGCATGAGTACATTTCAATTAAAACATAAGTCAAAGTTCTGACCATTTTAAACTACATCAACACAACATTAATTGGTCTACACATAATCTAAATTGTTTAAAAATATAAGTTATTTCTATATCATTTTAATTCAAGAGTAAAAATATCAAGGTTGGATTTTTTGTTTAAATGTCTTCAGCAACTGATTATAGGTGAATGTAGGCCTACATGAAATTCCTCAAAAGTCTATTCAGGATCTCTTTTACACATAAGACCTCTTTCATTCTTTCACAAAGTAGAATTTTGTTTTAAATGACGCAAATACATCAGAAACCACTCACAGAACATATTCAACACCAAATACAAAGGCTTCGACAGCTATGATACAGTTTTAGTGCCAAAACAGATTTAATAATTCAGCAGTAGAAAAAATGTATTATTGTATACCTATTGTGAAACAAGAGGATGGTATAAAATGACCTGGTATTTGAATATAACATAAATATATTTTTTCTTAATACAATTGATAAGATACGTAATCTAGGAATTCATGGTATTTCATGAGCCATAATTGTAATAAACTCATTATTTCTAGATCATCAACAAGGCGACTTCTTAAAGGTAATACAAAGTTTTGGGAAATTTTGAAAAATGGGTGGATAGTGATTCTTTACAATTTGATATATATGGATGCCCCTGTGGATGTATCAAAAACACCAGAAATTTTAGCCCCTAAAACACTTCTGCTTTCGAGAAAAATTGAATATAAAGATTTACCGGTGCTCCCGGTAAATTTTGATAAATTTCAAATAGCTCCTACGGCCGTACGACGGTAGCTGCGACCATGAAAATCTCAGAGTATGTAGTTGTGGTATATCATTTCCGAACGAGAATAGCTTATCGGTCGATTTTAGCCAAGAAACATTGTTTTATAGCTTAATTGATATCTTGACCTTGAGAGGGAGCTATTTAACATTAAGTGTTTATTATTTACAATTTCATAACTTTAGAGTCGATTTCGACCACGACAACGATCACTGAATATTGTAGGATCGTACATGCTTCCAATATGTTCATTTGAAACAAATTCATGACCCCATACCAAAACTTTGTATTACCTTTAATATTAATAAGATAAGCATGTTCACACAAAATATTTCTGCACTTTCTAGATAATGTATGATTAAAGATATCAGCAAGTATGCAGGTGTAATTTATGCCATCAAAGCTACATGTACCGTATTACATACCGGTAATCACATTTATGAGAGGGGGGGGGGGGGAGGGTGGGAAATTATCTTTTGTCTTGGATAAATAGCAATACTAGGTGAACGACATGTTTTTCCTCAAGAAATGAAATCCGTCAACAATTTTTTGCATTTTCCCCATAAGTGTTTACAAATATCACTTAAAGAAGACAAAGAAGTACGAAAAAGGTCCATTTCTCTTTTAAAGGAGTAAATACTACAGTATTGTTCTTGCATAAAAGTTTCCAAATTGGTTTTTAAATATTTTAAAACTGATAGCTTAATAATAATTCACTATCTTTCATTTTCTAACTAGTGCATATTCATTCAAGAGTACTTTAACAAGTAAGAGTATTATAAAACAGTACAGAGTTTCAATCACTAAAACAATATACTGTAGTACTGTATTATTAATGAAACTGAGGTTTGAGACACCTACATCATATTAAGCTATATAACATTGGATGTCCATATGAATCAAAAGAACCCAAAGAATAATAATTATTTTAAAAAAAGAAGGTTCATGTCATATCCTGTTTTTCAAATCTGAGTCAAACAACATGAAACCTAAGCATCTATACTTGTGTGTTTTTTTTAAAATAAAATTAAGCGATCAGAAGTGGTGGTTACAGCTCCATATGTAAACTCCTTTAAAACAGACAAGAAATCTTCCTGGAAAAAATTATAGAAAAAACTAACATCTTTTTAATTATGGCCTGAATGAGATTAAAATAGTGGATTGAATTGCCACAGAACTCCTAATAATTGAAAGATTGATTCAAATGACTACCACTTGATCGATGAACAGGCTTCGCCCCACTCAATGGATTACAGCTCTTGAACACTGTAGGTAAAGTAAAGCCTCGGTCACAAATGCCATTACGAACGGCTACGAACGCCGTACGAATGCCGTACGAACGATTTTCAGACAATGGAAATTCGGGAACACAATGGAAAAACGGAGATTCGTACGAAATTATCGTTCGTACGAACCTTTGTGACCGTAGCATAAGTAAATATATAAAGTGCATTTTCTATAGACTTCTAAAGGCAAAATATTATGCCATAAAGTAAGATCTAAATGGCATTTTTCAAATCATTTAATACAGATACACACTAACTGAATTTAAAGTTAACTAAATTATTCATACCCTTACCAAGTTTTTAAATCTTTAAGTATGTGAAAATTTGTATTGTCCTGATTTACGTTTCTTAAAAATGTGACATATATCTTACATTTAAAAGTATTCAAAAAAGTCCCTAATTCAACCAGTCATTCTGGAGTTACGGAAAAAACAACAGGACATCAAACTTACAAGGGATATGAATGATTATAAGTGGTTGACTGTATTAAGAAAATGCAAAAAAGAATGACACACATAGTAAAGCACCTTCATTGTACCAATACATGTGATGCACGAAAAATATCAAGGCACTTTTTTAAATCCCTGATTGTCAAAGTAATATATCTAAAAGCAGTAACCATTATAGTTATATAAAACATTCATATTCTAACAATGTAAAAATATTACATACCGGTATCTGCATGTAAGCCCTGAATTATGTTTAATAATACCCTTCACATACATGTCCAAATGTACATAGTCCTAGATAAGTTTACAGGTAATGTCATCTATGAAGCATACAAGTTATGTTGACCCTCGATTTACTGTGTAATAAAACAAAATTGAAAAATTAAAGTCCAACTCTAAATTCCAGTCCAAATTAAGGAGGTAAAAATTAATGTTCTTCATCATTTTGCAAGTTTGATTCAGGACAACAGTATTGGTGTTGTGTTACAAAGTATGTAAAATAAAATTCATTAATGAAAGCTATATCAAGTCAAGCCAATGGCAATTTCATAGTTAAAATGCTTGCACCACAGAACCTACCATTCAAAGCACCGTACACGAAACACAATTTCATGACGATTATTATGGTATTATCATTTTGTAAAATGCCTTTAGAAATTAATTAGGAATAGCATGATGTATTTCTGTCCTGGGTCATAATGTTGGGTTTTTGCATAAAGGAAAATGCACTCATAAGATGGTAAGTACAATAATTAGCTTGAATACATTATGGTTGTGCTTTCAATTGTTATAAATATCACTGATAAAGTGACCAAACTTCAGATATCATGCTTGGTTTCAACCAAAGAGAACATATCATGTATCATAAAGGTAAGTCCACATAAATATGGATGATTATATGCAGTCCATATATATGCAGTCCATATATATATGCAGGACTTCCTAGACATATTGTTATACTGAAATTTTCATAGAGTATTTTAGTACAGCAACCAAATATCATAGGGGATGGAAGGATCAAAAAACTATGAATTTCTGAGATTTTGTAGAGTGTGGTTTAGCATGTTTCTTAAAAGGAAACTGCTAGATTTATCTTAAGATGTGGTGTTGGAATATTACATTCCAAATATCATTCATGAAATACATCCTAAAATAAGATTTGCCATGAACAAGGACTTAATGACACCTTATACCATTTCAATATCAATCACATTTCTATGAATATTGACAAATATTTCAAATATTCAATGCCCTGGAATACACTTTAGGAGCTAAAATAAATCTGAATTTTCAGATATCATTCACAAAAAGCATTTAAAAATAAAAGCACAGACATGCATACAAATCATTTCTTGTTATATCATTTGACAATGTCTACATGTACAGTATATTGTAATTCTATATATTTTTGTAGTACTATGATCATGTACAAAAACAAATAACTATAGGCATACTGTTAAATATAGGATACATACATAAAGAATAAATATATATGAATGTACTAAAAGAAAATGAATTGCTAAAAACGATGCAACACCTCCTGATCTTAAAAGTAAGCTATGAATATAAAACAGAAAATATAAAGATAAACAATTCTTTATCGATATTCACAAGGCATTTTTCATTATTACAATGTTTAAATATTCAAGGCAGGCTTCAGAGCTACATACATATATGTATGCCACAAGCATTTTGTGAACAAGAAATTATAACATTTTAAAACTAACTTATTCTGAACAATATAAAACAAATAAAAACTATTGTTTTCCTTAATAGGAGAGAAATGACATAGTTTCAACTAAAATTTAGTACTGCAACTGTATCAATGTGAATGTGAAATTTATATGTAAATTCAGGTATGTTAAAGACAAGTCGAGCAACTTGATCACTTATGGAATTTTAAAGGCATCATTTAACAATGTTAAATCTGAGATGCATGGCCCTACATGTACATGTTATCGGAGTCTGTGATATGGTGTAATAATGAAGCCCTTAAAAAATTGCGCTTCAAAATGATCAAGAAGTGCCTCAAAAAAGTAAAAAACTTTGAGTGGCCGGTTTTACCATACTCGTTTTCCCCAATACACTGTAGTGTTATGAAAACTGTTTGGCAAACGCAAAATTTGATTTTGATTTTCAATCATAAATATCTTGATAATCAGACAGGCATTCGGCTTGTAAAAGTCATGGGGTTCCTGACTGGCCTAAAGGTTTATAATCATCATTGCAGCATGAGCTAAATCAAGGATTTTTTTAAAGGATCTAAGACAAAGATACCGGATCCCTTTAATAATATTTGGACGAACAAATACTATGCCTTCCGTTAGACATACTGTCCACTTACATGCAGTGCAAGTTTAAGGCAAATCTTGAGTACTGACAATAGATTAAGTAGTTCATATTTTGTGATTGAAAGGTTATATTATGATGGGTATACAGGTAATTTAAATTTCAAGAATATTGTGATATAAAATTAAAGAATATAGACTTAAGCAATAATTTTGAGAAACTGACCCCTGAATTCTAGATGTAAATGACCACTGGTCAGAATTTGTTCTGCTGGTGAGCATCGCTGCTCTACTGTATACAAAATTATGTAGGCTTAGGATTAATTAAGGTCTAAAACTTGCCAGGATACATTAACATGTGAGCTAAGAACCAAACAGGACTTTGCATAGCACCATTCAAATGCACAAATGTATGTACATGTTCAACTACATGAATCAGGGGTGATAGTGAGCACTAAAAAAAAAGAATTAAAAATTAAAATTTCACCCTCAACCACGCCCCCCACTACTGACGCCCCCCTTGAGTATAAAAAAGAGGATTCAGGGGGGGGGGGGGAATGGCAATGGCATCTAACAACATTCCCCCCTTTTTAGTAAGAAAAATGAGGAAAAATTTAGGGAGAAAACAACAACAAAAATCTGGTAAAAAAATAATAATGAGGAAACCAATTTAAATCGGGTAATTATCAGGCCTGATGAATGTAGTATACGTGGATCTGGTAAACAACTATTCGTTCAAAACCTTAATAATAGTAGAGGAAAAGTACCTAGCCAATTAAAGAATAATACAAAATTAAAACAATATTTTCCCAAACTTATATCGAAATAATCATTAACCCCCAACAGAGGTGACATGAATGCATTTAAATTCTGCGTTCAAATTTATCGACACTGAAAAACAAGAGTTGTGTGTTCGTAAAATTAGGTGGCACACATGTACCTAAAATAACTGAATAGATTACATAACACATGTCAGCTCACACAGTGAATTCTGCACATTACGTTGAGTCAAAATCAAAACAGTGCAATGAAATAATTGTTTACAAAAAAGAGGTGCAGCTTTCAGCAACACAAGGAAACAATAACATGGGTGTGTTTCCAAAGTGCTTCGTTGAAATACTACAAAAAGTAGCTTGTCTCACATATCAAGGTATGTGGTAGGCATCAAAGTATACCGATCACCAAAAAATATTGTACTCTATAATTATTTTAAGTGCTCCAAGTTTATACTATAGTGGAAGTACATAACCTTCAAATTTTACTTCTACAGAGAGATATCACAAGTATAAATACACTCTTAATAAACAGAAAGGCGACTTCTGAGTAGACTATTTGATGCAGGCGTATATGCTCACATAGAACGTAGAACATAAATTGTCCAACTTGGGTTCTGTGCAAAGGGACATTGTTTTTCATGCCCCTTATTATTGTTTCAGTAGACTGGTACACTTTAAGAAATGCAGTGGGTTCCATTAATGGTATACTCTTCTTAAAGGATTTCAATTGTTAAATCAGAATACTCCTTATTCTTTTGATTGTCAAGCAATGTGCAAAGTAAACATAATTTTAGGTAAACCAATTTTTTTACAGGCTTTAGGAAAAAATCAAAATGGATACAGGGTGAATTTACATGATTAAAAGGAATCCATACAAGGTTTCATCCTTGTCAATAGACCAGTGCACTATCTTTTATCCAAGTCTACATAGACTTTCAAGTTAATAAATATCAAAGAAAATTAAAATACAAATTAATAAATTTCATTACTACAGTATTTCTTTCATATAAACTTACTCGCTTGCCAGGGTTATCGCATCTTCAGCTCATGCTGAGATTTTGTCAAAAAAACTTGTGCAACGTTTGTTTAGGGAAGTCATGCAGAATGACCCCAAGTTAAAAAGAACAAAAGAATATTGAAATACTATATGACTGTATTCAGTTTAGTAAGAGTAGACTGTTTAATCATTCAAAATACTTTTATGATGCTCTCAGGATAAAATCCATTGAAAATCCTTTTGAAAATTTTGCAAATTGAATCATTTTCAAAGGTTAATAAAGGCACAATGAATTTCGTGACAGATATTTTTCTATACCATGCGATAGAAGAAGAAAAAAAATCAAAAATGCCATATTGCCTAAAAATACAAAGTATGAATACAATATTTCATAATATCTATAAAAGCCAATTACTGATGGAAGTTAAGTACTATTATCATGACATACTGCTTGATACAGCAGTAGTAGAAGGCACAGACTGTGTTTTAGCTAGGGGATTCACGACTCCAGGAATTAGAACTTCCATCCCCGATGGCTTTATCGAGAGGCGAAGTCTCTCATCCCTTTTGGTAGAGTCCAACGGTAAGGCACCTAGACCAAGATTCAGACCCGCATAGGTCGCGTCAAGTTTGGCACTTTGCATAAGAGTCCCTGCGGTGACAGGCTCCAGCAGATGATTACCCATAATGCTGCTGGATGCGACCGCGGGGCCAGCGAAGAGGGGGCTGGTGGGTAAGGCAGTCGAAATGCTTGTTAGCGCCCCGGTGGGTACCGTCACGTAGCTGTAGTGAGGTGGTAAGTTTGGAGGGTGCACTATGATGGGGTAGACGATCACCCCGTCGGATACACTCGTTCCCGTACTCATGGTGGGTATGGCTGGTACGATCGACTTGGGAGTGGGCGTCGGTGGTGAAATGGACAACGAGGGCGATGTTGAAGTTATACTTAAACCAACAGGACCCGTTATTGCAGTCAGTGAGTTAGTACTATTAGATAGAGAGTCGGTTGATTTAGACGAGTGACGGTTTGCGTAGTGACCGTGTGATTTTATATGTTTGCGTAAAGAACTAGGGTCCGTGTATCGTTTGTGGCAGCCGTGCACTTTGCAGCTGTATGGCTTTTCCTCTAAGTGCGTGCGTGTGTGCTTGAAGCGGTCACTGGAGTTTGAATAACGCTTGTTACAACCTTCAACTGGACACACATATGGTCTTTCACCTACAAAGAGAACAAATAACATGAGAGCTTAAATCGTTTCAGAATTTTAAAATTGGTATGTTTATTATGGGGGATTCATATTCTTACAACCTAGAAATTTCTCACATTACATCTCGATACATGTATGTTTAAATATCTTTCTCTTATGTGTACCTTCTCTGTCTGATACAAGTTCAGTTTGATATATTGCAGACAAATCCAATCTTATTTACTTCGTCATCGAAGACTAGAAGTAAAGTATTTCAATCCCAGTGTGCAATAGGGATAGTTCGCAATGAAAATGACAAAAAGAAATCATAATGTAACCATAAACCTAACCTAGAACCCAATCTTAACGTAACCCTCACAACACATCTCTTGATACAGTCAAACCTGTTTATAAAGGCCACTCAAGGGAAACAGAAAAAAGTGGCCACTGTAGGCAGGTGGTTGCTCTAGACAGGTTCTACAACACATGTTTCTTTCTCAAGGGAGACAAAATACTTGACCACTATAGACAGGTGGCCCTTATAGAGAGGTGGCCACAAAGTCAGGTTTGACTGTAACCAAGGGCAACAGTAGGAGAAGCAAATGTTGCATCAACAAGCCGTCATGCAATGTGTGCATAGGGACCTCATTGAAGAGCATCCCCTGCAAAGCTAGATCAATACAGCAGGGAGTTTACATTATCTCACGGTGAGAAAAACAGTCATTCAGTTCTGTGTAACAAAAGAGATGACATCATCTACACAAGAAATTATTTTTATCATTTTGCTTCTAACCTTCTCATAAAATGTAAATTCATTCAATCTTAGGACGTTATATTGACTGATTTGCGGGAGACCTAAGCAATGTGTGTATAAAGCTATATTGTTTGCCACCCCCTGTAAGGTACTACTATACACAAGGATGTGAGTTAGTCTAGTGTTATTATCAGTAGTATGCTCAACTCTCTGTATAACTGACTCAGATGGACCCCAGTCCGAAACACAGTCTTTCGGATGGTGACGTTACAGTTTCAGTACCCAAACATATAATTATATCTGATTGATTATGCATCTGTAAAAACTCAATTAACCACAAACATACATATGTACACACACACACGCATGCATTTTCAAACATGTATAACTTTTAAATAACAAAGATGGTAGAATTTAATTTCTGAGGCTGTGAAATGAGTCGTGTCTGAAGGGGGCTTTTAGCTTGTTCACATATGATGTGCGGAAACTGGGACATATTTAAAAAATGTAAATAAATGGCAAATGGGGATGAAAAGTTTCTGCCCACAATAAAGGTCCTTCACGTAATCATTATCTGTCTGATCAAGCTATGAAAATACAAAACATATTCATAACACTTATGTCATAATCTTCATTTCAAACACGAAGCCATCATCATCATAGTTATTTTAACTGTGTCCCGTGTCAAATGTGAGCAGTGTTTTAATAAGGTTACTGAAGATGACATACCTGTATGGGACCTGTTGTGTATCTTGAGGTTCTCCAGCCGTGAGAAGCTCTTGAGACACAGCGGGCATTGATGGGGCTTCTCATTAGTATGCGTACGAACATGGATCAGCATCTTATATCTGTCACACGAGTAGGATGAGAAGACAGCAAAATAGACGTGTTCAGGCATTCTCAATAGTAATACATTTTCATTTAAAACAAATTATATATATATATATACAGTATATATGGACACATAATGCGGCATGAGGAGGGCTTGATGCTCACAGCTCAGAGTCATAGAAGGTCGTATTCATGGAAAAAAGAAGAGGCGAAGACCTCGTAAAGGCTTTCTAGATGATGTAATCACAGAATGTGGAGCAACAGGGTATGAAACAATGAAACGGATGGCTCAAGAACGAGTAACTTGGAGAGACACTTGATATAGAATTTTGATTGGGTCACTAAACCTGTCGTAAACTGACAGATCACTATTGATTACATATGAATAATTAAAACAATGTAAGGATATTTTCCTGTCAAAATGAAAAAAAATACAGTATAACTGCAAAATAGATTAAAAAATGGAAATAATCATATCAATTTCAACTCATCCCATCCCCCCCCCCTTTTTTTCCTTTCTTTTTTTGTTCTACCAATTAGATTAGTAATCCAACTCATTTATCATTATATTTAAATATCAAAATGATAGCACAGAGTTAGAAAGAAAGAGAGAGAGAGAGAGAGAGAGAGAGAGAGAGAGAGAGAGAGAATTACAGCCACAGCAATGTTAATCTATTACACTGTTGTCAAGGGGGGTAATTAACAGTTTACACCTCCATATACATCTTCAGATTCTAGAACCTTTTCAAGATTCTTTTCCATCACACCAGTCATCAATTTAACTCTACAACAAAATTTACAATTAACCTTGAAATTCAAAATTACAAGTGCATGCATGTTAGTTTACCCCATCTCGGTTTCACAACAAACATCTTTGCTTCACATCTTGGGATTGGGGTATTCCCAGTTCACAGAGTCAGCCTCTACTTTAAAAACAGCTAAAGTCACACTATACCAAGCATTGTCTCTCCTACACATGTTTGATAAAATCATGCATTAACACCTGTCAGCCACATAGTTCGGCCCCTTAAACAGAAATAAGAAAATTTCAATGTAAGCAATATCTCTAATCCTGCCACACCCTAAAACTAGGCCAAATATGCAACATACATGTACATGTACACATGAGAAAACTCCCCTTTCTCATACTTTCTCGACCTCTCTCTACTCTTTCAAACAAATGTCAATGTTCCAAAAAACACTAAAACACAACATTATGTTCATGCATCGCCATGGAAACCTGGAGAGAAAATGATAACCCAATTTCATGGCCAACTTGTGGAGTGTCATCAATCTCTGGCTAAACAGAGCCTTCCATTGTCTGGTAGAATTCTGACACTGTGGGATGAGCCCAGGTATGCAACATCAAGGGTCAAATGTAATACTGAGGTCAAGGGTAATATGAAAGGGGCGAGGGTCTGTTCGCATAGCTGGTTATCTGCCTTTCTACAAAGATTTATCTTCATCATCCTGCTTGTTAAATGTTTGTGACATATCGATTACTGGAATACTTCTTATTAGTTAATATGTGATGTGTTGTATCAATTGGTGATACAAACTGAATTACCAATACTGGTATGTACATGTAGTTTCAGCCACTTGCAAATAATGCTACTAAATGTACATGTACATGCAACAACAAAAAATTAATGTGGGGGGATGTTACATGCATATATTTTTTTAACAGCACTTCCAAACCTTAGGAAGCATTTAAAGTCAAATTCTAGTTCAATTTCCTCTTATTTTGAATGACTGTGTTCAATTTGATTACCTGATTTGATTCAACCAATCATGTATTTCTCCACTCTTACATGTCCCTCATTGAAACATTCTTTCATTTACTTGGTAAACCAAATCCATTCAATTCCATGAATTTCAAACCTTTGATACCTTTCCAAATCTTTTCAAATCAAAACCAATCCGTTCCAAATTTACCTTGCATTGAATCCTTTTCCTTTCCTCTGACACCCCTCCCATCTACAGCAGTACTCAGTGTCTTTCTCTAACCTCACATGTCTCTCATTAACACGATACACCAATTCAATTCTATTCCATAAATTTCAAATCCTTTCAAATCAAAACCAATCCATTCCAAATTTACCTTGCATTGAATCCCTTTCCTTTCCTCTGACAGCCCTCCCATCTATAGCAGTACTCTGTGTCTTTTTCTAACCTCACATATCTTTATTTTATTTGCCAGGTAAACCAACTCCATTTAATTCCACACATTTCAAATCTTTCCAAATCTTTTCAAATAAAAACCAATCCTTTCTAAATTTACCTTGCGTTGAATCCTTTTCCTTTCCTCTGACAGCCCTCCCATCTACAGCAGTACTCTGTGTCTTTCTCTAACCTCACATGTCTCTCATTGACATGATACACCAATTCATCAAGCCTGTCAAATCTTTGGAAGCAGGATGCCCACTTACAGACCTAGACAGGAGGACATATAATAAATTTGTGATATTAACAAAATAATAATATGGCAGGAATAAATTTGGCAGGCCAACAGAAATTTCAAATGTAGGCCTATGGGGAAAACATTTCTGCTAAATATCATTTTTTTTCAACTTCTTATGAAGGGACTTTTAATTTCCAGCATATGCTGCAATGAGTGCCCCTTAAAATCACCTGGCATTTAAATGATTTAAAACATGAATTCATATGACATCAGGAGATAATTTCATTTATTAAAACCTAAGTGATCTATATCAGTTTTCAAATGCATTCAATCATATAAAGGATGCCCATACCCATTTGTTGTGGTGGTGGAGGTGCCTTTTTGTGTAATTAATACAAAGCACATGACAGAGAAATGTATCAACGCTCAGACTACGCTTCATTATTTCAGATATTTCCCTAAAATACAGTATCGTAACTTTAAGGCTCAATCATCATGGGCAGCAGAAACAAAGTATATGTTATTTATTAAAAAATCACAGGAAGATATTTTTACATTCACCAGTAATGTGCGACATGCATTTTCTTCTGGTCTGTCGATGATTGTCTCAGAATCGTTCTTAAAATCATTCCCATCTCCCACATGGTCGGTATGGAATATGGTCCTTGTGTACCCTATGGAACCACTTGACTTGCAGGAAGAAATATTGCTTAGCTGGGGAAAGAGGGGAAAGAAGGAATATGAAATATGTTTAGATTGAAAAAGAAGAAATAGTGTCAGAGAAGAGTCAAAAGAGACACTTGAATAAAATGTGTAATTACTAACTGTAATTACAAACATGCATGGCATGCCTTCCCCTCTACACTCCCCTCCATTGTGGAAGAAAATGAAGTTAAGATTAGGAAGCAACCAAATAAAATGATAATTCTTTATCAAACTGTGTCTTTATTTTGGTCCGAGACTCAGTAAGCAGTGATGGTTCACAATCTATTTCAATTCCTGCTTTAAAAAAAATGAAAAATGAAAAATGAAAAATAATAAACCATTTTTTCAGATTCTCCTCTTTAAACCAATTCAAAGGTGTATGGCAAATTCTGTTGATTACCTAATAGCTTTATCCCACTGGAAACTTGTTCAACTTCTCTAAACGACTAGAAACTCCACCAACAGTGTAACAATCATAGCTTGGATTTGTCGAAGGAAATTTAAACATGTACATGTATATTTTGGATAAGTGTCAACACATCTACACGTATATTCATATATATCCATCTTACATTTATCATGCCGTCTTTTCCACTGATTGACGTCATGTGCTGCGCGTCCGACAGACCACCGACTAGGAGGCTGTTCAACGAGGCTACTGGTTTATACTCCATCCCTGTATCGCTGTGTTCAGTCTTGTTCTGTAGTCTTTGGTTCGATTGTAAGGCAACGGGTGTCAGAGAAGGCCGCTCACTCGATAGATTGTCTATTCCACATCCCACTAGTACTGTCACTCCTATAAACCAAAAAGATGAATAATCAAACATGAATAATCAAACATGAATAATAAAAAATGAATAATAAAAAAAAGTAAAGGGTACCAAATAATGTACATGTATTCTAAAAGTCTATTCATGTGATAAATTAGTGCATGAATCTTCCCTAGAATGCACACAACACTACTGTAATGTATCTTTCAGAGGTACAGCACGATGGCTCAGTGGTAGAGCAGTGGTTTCATAACTTCCAAGGTTCATGCTTCAAAACACAGTTGATGTGAATGCATTGATTAGCAAGTCCCATTTGGCCTGTCATCGTCAGCTTGAGTTTGCCAAATAACCGCTACTTTCAGACTTGGGATATTATCCCAAAGCTCGAAATAGCATCTTCACCAGACTGATATGCTCATCACAAACTAGCTCGGAATAGCGGAATATTTTGATATTTCTTTAGATAGATCCCCTTGATCACTTCTCTGTAAGCATAAAACACGTACATGTACTTGCTTTCATAGTTATCAGTTGGAAAATAAACAATAATTATCTGAACAGGATAAGCCAATGTGCCAGGTTACAAAACTTTAAACAATTAAACTCTTTCGCACCAATTAGGACGTGGATAGAATTAGAAATAAAAAGTGCAACTGGCTAAGGCTGTACATGTACATGATTAAACTAAAAATCAATAGATCATATGATAACCTTTTTTTGGTAATTTTTTTCATTCATTGAAAAAGAAACAAATGTAGGGCATTGATACTTGATTTTTTTTCCCAGGAAGCCTAATGAAACACTGAAGGGGGCAAAAATAATTTTTCCCACGAGAAATATTTCGGTTTATTTGTCTCCATAAATTCAAAATATTTCGGTTTATTTGTCTCCATAAATTCAAAATATTTGTTTTTGAATTACAGCGTATGTTCTTACTCATTTAATGCTGGGAAAAAGCAAAACACTCAACAGAGCATGCTTATTGATTTTTTAGAATGGCACAATTTTTCACACATGTATATCAATATTCACCCAGCATGACATTTCTATTGATTGCATAAGTCATGGTGTTTTGTGAGTATATTTAGTTAATTTGGTTGACTAAGCAACAAGGTAATTAAATCTACAGCAAAGTATACTGCTAACATGGACATCAAATTCACTAGCCCAAACCTTGCCAGAGATGTTCCCAAAATCCACCTACACTGTAATTACTGATTGCGTTGTATAATGGAATATCAGAGCAGATATACCAACATTCTTTGACATTTTTTTCCAATATATTCCACTTTTGTTGAATGTACAGATAATAAAAAGGGTTAAATTTTACAAGAAATGGGTGCGTGACATTAACATTTTATTATTGGCCAATGAATTTTGGTTTCCCAGGAGTAACACCTACTAAAATGCAGCTGGCTCAGAAATCAGCATGAAAGAAAAATTTGTGAAATTACTACCTTTATTCAATATCAAAAGTATCATGATTCATATACATGTAGTATCTTTCCTTATTTTCACACATTTGTGTCAATTCTAAAAAAAAAAAAGGAAAAAAACTTTAAAGAAGACCTGATTGATGATCAAACAGTTATAAAAGGTCTGATTTTTATCTCATTTTCTGATGATCCTCTGCGACTATCTCACAAGCTATTATATCTCATGAGAACAAAATTGATTTGTTAAAGAACTGGAGCATCCAAATAAACTCAGATGAAAGATTTTATTGATTGATGAAGAGAGTATACAGTAGTAGGTCAGATACACGTAGGGAAAAATCACTGGCATGTGGACAATAACACAATCCGGCACGCCAATTAGGAAAAAAGGGAAAATTCTTTCATTTTCGATTTCTTTCATCGTTGGGGATAACAGGAGCGTGTAAAGAGTTTAGATGTCAATAAAATATGGGTTGTCATGGAAACTGGTAACACTGCAAGGATTCCTTCCAAACCCTGAATGTGACCATAAGTTATGAATGATGATCAATGGAATGGACTAAAAGCATAACTGCCAACCCTCCACAGTAAAAAAAAAAAAAAAAAAAAAAAACTATCCCTGGATGCAAAATAGGGAAAACAGTACATGTTGTAAATTTTTGTAGACAAATCTCTGAACATGACTTGTAAGACTTGTAGTTAACATTATTTTTACTAGAATCACTCACTTTCAAAAAAAGACTTTAATTAAATTATGTGTGTGGGGGGGGGAGGGGGGAGGGGGGAGGGGGGGGGAGGGGAGGGGGGAGGGGGGAGGGGGGAGGGGGGAGGGGGAGCTCCGGCTGACAGTTTCTTCAAAGACTTGATTTTTTAAAATAATTTTGTCTTTATTTCTCCTCCTTGCCATATCCATATTTTTGTCTTTTTACAGTATGTTAATTACATCAATTTAGCCTTCATTTGAAGCCAATCTGCACTAGTTTGGCCAGGAGGTATTGTACCTCCTTGCATGGTCAATGGCATGCGGTTATCACATCAAATCAGCTCTTGATTAACATAAAAAAAAAGGGACCTTGGGGATCAACAGGTATTGCTTAGGCAATGTTGGCTGTATAGAGGGTGCAAGTAGCTTCAAGTAGTGCAGTGGGGCTTTAACCTTTATACACTCCAGTCTCTACAAGATAAAACAAAGCAAATAAATCCATCTCTATTGAACCAAACAGAACTTTATAAAGGCAGAAATTGGCAGGTTTGTCATTGTGTAACACGAGACAAACTGGGTGTACATTGACTAAATGTCATATCAAGTATCAGAGCACCTTCTCACAGCTTTACTCTTCAGACCACAGAAACCAAGGATTCCCCTCCCAAAGTCAAGTTCAAGGTCACCTTGTGGGGTCGAGGGTCAAGCTACTATTTAGATGAGAGGCCAGGTGTTCTCAATTTCACTCAACCAGGCAGACCTTTGAATGGGGATCCCAAACAGAAAGTGTGTTCAGATGATTGAGTTTCGAAAAATCTGTGAAAAATGGCCCTGTTTCATAAAACTTGTTATCAATAACAAGCTCAAATATGGCAACAACAGCTACTGAAATCATGACATTTTATTGGCTGAGAGCAAATTTGACATAAAACTTTAGCATTTGTTATTGATAAGAAATTTTATGAAACAGGACCTATATTAAAATCAGGTTTTAATTACTTGCAATTTTGAGTTAATCTAATGAATGAATGGCAAATTTGATTAATATAAATTTGATAATTTACTGTATGTGTATACATCTGTAAATTATAATCTCCTTTTGGGGGAAATTTAAACCTTAATATCTTGAATAAAACTCAGAATCTCTGGTTGTTTATCTTTTATTACACTCTTTTGATCCCTAAGTATTAAACATGAATGTGTTACAAACTCAAATCTATATTTCAGCTTACATTATTACTGAATCAAGTAATTTGAAATTTACATCCACAGCTACATGTATGAACATTCACTAGTATTATTTGTTTCTTTCCCCATCCATTGTACAAACACACTTGCAAAGGAAGCCAGGGATTCAAAGTTCAAAATAATTCCTAGAGGGGAAGAAAAAAAAGGGGAAGAAAAAAAAAGAGGATCAAAACAAGACGCTGGGAACCAAAGTGTAGGTGGCCGTTCTGGCGATTTCAGCTAAACTAGGTTGCCATGGGAACAATCTAACTGAGTGTAAAACAGAAGAATGGACCTGAATGTGGGCGGTGGTATGTTGACACTGGAACAAATACTGAGACAGTGCTCACCATCAGATGTGAACTCTGGAAAGGTCTTGATTTCAGATCAGACAAAGTGAATTTTGAACTGAATGAAGACTTGATTTTTGTTTAAATCCTATCACCATTACTCTTTTTTGAGAGATATCATGATGTTCATTCATCTCTCTTTTTCATTATTGGGCTAAGTTTTTTGTTTTTGTTGTTGTTTTGTTTAGTATATGTTTGTATTTGTTGTTGTGTTATGTTTTTGTATATATTTTTTTTTATTTTGCTGCAATATTATAAGCTTTCTGTTTTTGTTTTGTTTTAGTGTTTTGGTTTACATTTGTTATCTTTTATGTTTCATTGTGATTCACAAAGGGTACATGTACGATTTGTAGGGAGGTATTGAATGCTAAGACTCTGAGAAACAAGCTCCATTTTAAATTATTAATCTGTTGCATTACGGGGGTACCTCGAAATGACCAAGTACTGCATTTGGGGGAATGAGTGAGAAGAGATTCTCACTGCAGTCTTGGGACAAAAATGACCCACTGCAAGTCTGCAACAGGAATCTCAAATCGGTAAGTTGTTCATGAAAAGTTAGGTACTGTATCTTTGATCTCCCCCAAAGAACAGCACTTGATAGCACCAAGGAAGAATGTCATACCTATGTTGGTTTATAAATAAATGCAATACAAGAAATGAAAACCATAAACAGCCTGTAGTCCTGCAACATAATGCTTCGGGAACGCCCTTTTGTTGTAATGCTATACAGTTGGTAGTTACAACAAAAGTATGTGTTCATATACCTGGAAGAAAAACAGTTTTCCTAACATTTTCATAACATCCGTCATTCCTGCCAATTTGCGTCTCTAGTTTGGTTTTGGTATACATTACGTATAAAATTCACAAGCATTCCATGTCCATATTCAAAATACCAAGCCTCAAATAATATCTGATGCCTATGGTTACAAAAATATAACTGGCCCTTGCAAAAAGGCACTATTACATCAATACCATGAAATTCCTTTTTTTTCATCTACAATGTACATGTACATTTGCGCTAAAAAACCCAACCAAAATTATCAATATGTCCTTGACTCCATGTCTATGCCTCCTGCCACATACTGTAAACTATAGCAAGGTAGAGGAATTTGAATTTAATGCTCGAAACTATTCCCTAAGCTGGCACATTCTTTTGATAATATCACATTTTTTTCATGACTTCAATGATCATATCATGAAAAATGGGACAATTCTTGCAGCATGACAGCTGATGAAAAAGGGCACAGCTAGCATACCTGGATCGGCAAGGGCAGATGAAGCAGATGACGTCATCTTCTCGATTCCGTCTTCGTTGTTATTGTTGTTGCCATGGGGATCAGTGACTCCAGATTCTTCATTCTTGGAGTTCAATTGATCGTGGCATGCACTGTCCTTCCTCCACTCGTCTTTGTTCTGGGAGTTTGGAGCCGCCTTGAAGGGGGGCGGCTGAGGTCTGAACGTTGTTGGGGTGTACTTGAAGTGGATACTGGTTGCGGGCAGGGCTTTGTCCAAAAGGGGAGAGTCAATAGAATCCATCAGGCAAGGGAAGGCTCACTCCTGCATTGGAGATAGAGAAATATAAGAAAAAAAGTGAGAATTGATTAACAAAGGCAAAGACAAGAACAAAAGTTACATAGAGAGAAAGAGTCATCAACAAATACAATGTATTGAAAGCTTCACACCTTATAGATATTAATCTACATTTGCCACTCTCCACCTAGGTGCAGTAATTATGTTTAGAAAGGAATTTTTCAAATGCTTGAGCACCTTACCATGGTAGCCCGGTTGAAGGTAGGATAATAATATGATTGCAAAGCCCTAAGAAAGAACAATATTTGAAGTGATGAGGCTACACTGGGTGAACAAGATAATATTTTTATTATCATGTTGGCATTAATAATGTAAGGAGTGGAGGGATATCATAAGCTTTAATTGTCAATTTTCCTTATCTTCATCAGATAAAACTATATTATCTACAATGTGCATGTACATATTTCTAGTATTTTCCTGCATTGTTTCAAACTTTCAAATCAACTTGATATCGGTGTGAATTTCAACTTCAACTTCAAATACAAAAATTATGATACCAAGAAGAAAAAAAATCAATTTCATACTGACAGCAGCAACAGGAGTGTCATCATATACATTATAGGATGGGTACATTACAATAGAATAAACAAAAGTTACCCTTCATCTTGAATTTTCTAGGTGATCCCTCCAAATCCTAACCTCTATCACCCAGTGACGTACATTCAAACAATGACAGTCACTGTTTCTACATTCAACATTCTCAGTCTTCAGCCATTTAATGGCAGTTCTTCAGGGAATGGAGTCGTATCAGATTTATTTACTCTAGGGACTGAATGTTAACTGGTGAAGATGGCTCTCCATTTTTGGGTGGGCCCATATCTTGGACTACACACATTTACATTTACATCATTTGGTGTAGGATTGGTGTTCGGTGTTGGTTTTAAGGCGTTTCCATCGGTTTCTTTTATTTCAGCACACATCAAAATGTGTAATTATTTCAAAACACATCTAAAGATTTGTTTGCAGGCTTATGTAGATGTAGATCTCTTATAAAAGCAAATCATTCAACTACAAGGTGACCGACATGGCTCCTGCGAAAATTACTCCAAGCTTTATTACATCACAGGGTTAGGTTAGGTTAGGTTAGGGTTAGGTTAGGGTTAGGTTAGGTTAGGTTAATCGATATATTTGGTAAATTAGTTTATCTACATGGTCTGTGAGAGATAAACGCATGTGTGCGTATAGTCCCACATACATCTTTCTGTGTACAGTGCTTGTAACTTTACGAAGACTGGGCCGAATTTCTTATCATTTTGATGATTCCAGAACCTTGCAGTACACACCAATACTGCTAGATGATCAACCTTTTCTGATCGATTCCACCATGTTTCTTTCACAATGCAATCGCATGACCACAACTGGTCTTTACCTTTAAAGGTACATGTAAGAAGAATTTTATTAGAGTGAGAAATCAACGCAGAGCACTTGTTGTCAAACAAAGTGTCATAATCATATAACCAACCACATAACAATATATTTTACTGCTCCCATACATTGAGGTTGTAATGTTCTATTCTTGGTTTTCTATTGAAGTTACGAATTATCACCTTAATAAATCATTACAATCGGACATAACCCATATGAAAAGAATATAGACCTTCAATTTATTCCTCTGATTTTGAATATCTGCATATTCAAAAACGAGGAAAGAATGAACCATGGAAATAGTCTAGATATGGAATATTTCCATGAGACAATATGCCCCAAGGGAGAGCATCATACATTTTCGACAAAGCATTTGTGCACACACACACACACACATATATTGTGCACACATTGTACATGTACTGCGTGTATTGTCCTCTTGTAGTCTTATACATTCATTCAACATGCACAGTATGAATAAAAATAATGAACACAAAAGAATTTTCATAGCGGACCCTATAAAATGTATGGAAAACCTCAAGCATTCACAACCACCATTTTTACAGGGGAACCCCTGGTGTGGGTACCTTGGGAAAAATTTTCCTCCCAAGAAAATGGGTCATCGATCAGTAGTTGAGAGGCGTGTTTCCATTATGCCAAAGTCAGCAAATATTGTGATTCTTTTTGTTATTTTCTTTTCTTTCTTAGATTTTACAAATCATTACATAAAGCCCTTTTTCTTTTCTTTAACCTGCCTGAACATTCACTGAATCACTGTCAGGAAACATTGTTCATAGATGAGACTGGGTACTGAAAATGCAAGATTCTAATCTCTATAAAGGCAAGCATGGATAGTCTACCTCTGGAAATGCTTCCTTAGAAAGAAGGAATATAGCTGCCCCACCCCAACCCCATGATTCAGTGTATACATCTACACTGCATCACTTATTTACTTCATTTTGTTAAAACAAATATTGGCAGATCATTGTTCGCTTCATAGTTCAAAAGATTTCTGGGGAGGGGGAGCAACATTCTATTGAGAAAGAAACGTTGGGGTTATTAAATAACAGTGAAAAAAGACCAAAATTCTCAGTCTTAGCCGCGAGTCTGGCCCGCGCCATTAATTGTCAAGTCCGTGTAGCGCCTGCACTTATTCATACAGGATATACCAGAGAAGTCTTCTCATATTTTTCGTTGTTTTATTGTTTTTTTTACCAAGAATTACAAAAATTTGGAAATTTACAGATCACACAACAAAAATTGGCCTAAATCTGGGTACTATTGTAGGAGTTTGTTTACTTTTGATAAATCTGGCTGCACACACCGACTGAGCTGTTACAAAAACATCAAAATAACAAACAACTTCAGTTTGGTGAGAATGAGATAATGGAAACAAGTACCGTCTTGGGGTCAAAGGATTTGAAATTCTCTTCTGGAGCAAGAGGGAGCACTGTTGGGGGTCTCGACTGAGAACAATATTCCCTTTGACCTTTTGTTTGGAAGGCTTGGGTCTACCATTGCCAATTTACTTTTAATCTTTTCACATTGCCAGACCCAGAGTATGAAATGGCTAAAGGGGGCATGGAGGGTTTTATTTCAAGAACTTAAGATGGACTATTGGGGCGTTTTCAAAACTGGTCTATACCTTTAAACATGGCCACTTTAATGTCCATTAATGTCATTTAATGCATTTTAATGTCATTAGTAATTATAATCACGATTGTGTTGAAATAAATTAGACGATCGAAGTGAATGCGAATAAAACATTTTGATCAACAAACAATCAGTTTGTCTCTCCAAATTGTTATTACTATTCTTTAAAGTGTATGAAACGTGAGAGTGTATTAAAGATGAAGTTGAGTTCTGGTCATGCGATTGCATTGTGAAAGCATCGGTGTGGAATCGACCAGAAAAGGTTGATCATCTAGCATATAAGAATTTGTGTGTATTGCAAGGTTCTGGAATCATCAAAATGATAAGAAATTTGGCCAAGTCTTGGTAAGTTACAAACACTGTACACAGAAAGATGTATATGGGACTACACGAACACATGGCGTAAAAATCCTACCCCCGAGTTTTACGATGTTACATGACATATTTCGAATATGAAGGCATTTGAAGAGCCATGCTTTTCAGGGAACATGTCTTACATGTATATGATGTTCTTCCACACTTGCATAATAAGAATGATAATGCTCACAAATTATTTTTTCACCTCTTCCCAGAACTCAACCTTCTCTTTAAAGGTAGTATGTCCCTTTTGCAGCCAACCTCAAATGCTGTAGAACTTTGCAGGAATTATGATTATGTCATGTATGTCCTATCTGTGAAATTTAAATGTTAGCAGTGTCCTCATATTCAAATTATGCAAGGAAAACCGTTTACTTGCTAAACTTCACTGTCAGACACTATTAAGTGACTGACTGGTTTCTTTTCATGAAAAGAGTTGTAAAGGCTACATGAGTATTTGTCTACATCAATAACCCACTTCTTGTGATGGCCCAGGTTAAACTGATTGAATCTTTGCGCAGCATAAAACGTATGACCATTCGGTACAATTGTCTGAAAATCAAGACTATTACTTTTGGGCTCTATAGCCCTAAAGTCGATTTGACAACTAATAGTCGTTATTTTCCCACTTGAAGACATTTTCAAGCCCCACCTTTTTTAGGGAAGTTCTAAATTGGTATTATCTTTCAAATGCAGTTGGAATTTAACTTTTTCATTTTTTTGGCCTGCAAATGGGACATAGTCCCTTTAAGGTAACTAACCCGTCTGCATATATAAGATATGATAAAAAAGACTATTCAAGGATTAAAAACAAGAATATCTTTCATATACAAATTAATTATGGTGTGGAGATTTTGTTTTGGGATTTTCACTAAGGGGACTATGGGCAAACAAGTAATTATTGACTCTCCTCACCCCCCCCCCCTTCTTCTCTCCGGTGATTTCGTGATTTAATTTAATGTCTTCTCTCATTATCTATGCATGCATCCCTCTTTCTCCGGCTTATACTAAACACTCTGGTCGTGGTGCGTTGGAAATTTTGTTTAATGGAGTCTTCAAATCGGCCCTACACCCTGGGAAAATCTTATCTTAAATTAGCGTCTGTTTTTAACCATTTGTAAAAATGGGGGTGTGTGGGGAAATTTACTTTAAAAAGAAGTTGGAAGTCGCAATTTTATTAATTTTAATGATAGAAAATAAGAAGACAACAATTAAGCCTGACATTAGGAAAGACAAAGTGGCTTTTAGAGAAAGTGTAATACTACAAGGGAATATGATAGGCCTATTAATAGAATGGAAAAGGGGAAGAATGAAAAGAGTGAGAAGATGTTGTGGGAAATTAAGAACTACAGGTGTACCAAGAGAGGAATACAAAAGAAAAATGTTTAAAAAAAGGGAATTGAAAGAATTCATTTGCCAGATTTAATAGTGATAAAGTAAAAGATTGGAGAAAATCAAGATTTACATGAGAGAAAAAGGAGAAGGGTAATAAAGGGACAGAATAAAATGTAGAAGGCAACATTTTAATAGACTGACATATAAAAATAAAGTGAGAAATAAAACTTAATAGGATGGAAATTACAAGGAATGAT